AGAATCAGTGCCTCTACAGCCATGTCACAAGTGTCTAACAACATACACTGGTGACAATGTTCCGGTAATAGGAGAGTGTATGGTTCATGTAAGTTATAATGGTCAAAGTGTTAAACTTCCTCTTCTTGTGGTTGAAGGAAATGGACCACCATTACTAGGTAGGAACTGGTTAAGTAATCTTAAGTTAAATTGGGAGAGTATTTGTTCATTGAACAATGGAAAAGAATCTAGTCTTACTTCACTAGATAAAGTTATATCTGAAAATAAAAGTGTTTTTAGTAATCCAGGATTACTAAATGATAGAACAGTGAAGATAAGCATTAAAGACACAAATCCAAGATACTGCAAAGCTAGAGTTCCACCTTATGCAATGAGGAATAAAATTGAAAATGAGCTAAGTAGATTGGAATCTAATGGCATTATAAAGAAGGTAGACTATTCCGATTGGGCGTCGCCCATTGTGCCAGTGTTAAAGAAGGATGGTTCTATAAGAATTTGTGGAGATTATAAAACTACACTGAATAAGCAAACAGAGCTAAATAGGTACCCTATTCCTAACATTGAGGAAATTTCTTTGAATTTGGCAGGAGGAGACAAATTCACTGAATTAGACTTTAGTCATGCTTACACTCAACTAGAACTGCATCCAGATTCAAAAGTCTATACGACAATAAACACACATAAAGGACTCTACCAATATGAAAGACTATGTTTTGGCATATCATCCAGCCCTGGAATTTTCCAAGCTGTCATGGACAGTATTTTTAAGGACATTCCAAATGTTTGTGTGTACTTTGACAATGTGTACATAACTGGTAAGAATGACACTGAACATCTGAAAACACTTGATAAAGTATTGAAAATTGTTGGTGAAAAAGGTTTAAAGATAAACAAAGATAAATGTCAATTCATGTTGACAGAAATTAGTTTTCTTGGTTATATATTAAGCAAACAAGGCATCAGACCTCAACCTGAGAAAACAAAAGCCATTAAAGAAGCACCCAAACCTGAAAATACCCAACAACTAAGAGCTTTTTTGGGCTTAATAAATTACTATGCAAAGTTCATAGGAAATCTGTCTGGTAAACTATCACCACTGTACAAGCTGCTACAGAAAAATGCAACTTGGCACTGGGGTAAACAACAAGATACTGCTTTTAATACAGCAAAAGAGGCTTTGTCTTCTGACACCTTACTAACTCACTATGACCCAGGGAAAAGACTTATATTAACATGTGATGCTTCACCAGATGGTGTAGGAGCAGTCTTGTCCCACATGGATGAGAAGGGTGACAGACCCATTGCTTTTGCCAGTAGATCTTTGAACCAGGCTGAGAAAAATTATTCTCAGTTAGATAGGGAAGGCTTAGGCATCATTTTTGGTGTTAAGAAATTTCATAAGTTTCTGTTTGGTAGGAAGTTCACCATCTTTACAGATCATAAACCATTGCTAGGTTTATTTGGAGAAAACAAAACCCTACCTGAGCATGCCTCACCAAGAATTCAAAGATGGGCTATCACACTAACTGCATACAATTATGAATTGAAATACAAACCTGGATCTGAGAATAGTGCAGATAGTCTTAGTAGATTACCTTTAAAAAACCAAAGCCTTAGCTATGTACCAGAAGGTGTATTTGTTCTCTTCACTATCATGGATAACTCCAATATAAATGTGAATGATATTAAAAGAGAAACACAAAAAGATGAGTGCTTAATAAAAGTATATGAGTACTGTAATAATGGTTGGCCTGAAGAGTCTGTGAATGATGACTTAAGGCCATATAAAAAAATAAGAAATAAAAACCTTTGTGAAGATAATATAAAAGATGGAGAAGATGCAGTCCATCATCAGTCAGAGTTGCCTAAACAAAGTATTTGTAACTTAATAAATGATTATGGTGATATGGCAATTTCAAATGTTTTAAAGAAAATACATTAGTAAGAAGGAATGTGATCATCAAACAACTTTGCTAACATCATTAGCACTTACAGAAACTAAAAGGGTAACATCAAAAGAAAAAAAAAAAAAGATTTTTGCCATTTAATACTTTCAGATGCCAATTCAAAAATAGTTCCATTAAATCATGACAAAACATCCATTGAAGAGAATTTGAATATAATGAGAATGTGTATCTAAGAAATCATGGGAGAAAGGAAAAATGGATGCCAGGTCAAATTGTTCAATGTACAGGACCTGTGTCTTATAAAGTTAAAAATAACTTGTGCAGATAATAAGTGTGAATCTGTCAATCCCACCAAATCTGATCAGTTCACACCAACTCAGTTTGTTCCACAACCAAGTTCTGTTGATATGAGTGAACCAAGTTGTCTGGAGTCAGAAAATGTAAATTCTGGAGTTAATGATTTAAATCCTAGACCTCCTGAGATAGAGAATCCAGATGGTCAGAATCTTGAGTCACCAAATCAAAAGCCACTGAGAAGGTCAAGCAGGACAATCAAAGTCCCAAATAAGTTAGACCTATGATTTTAAAGGTCAAAAGGACTTTGACATCATTGTTTTGTATCTTGATTATGTTGTAGCATATTGTGCATTGTTTGTAAGGATGTAATCTACCATAGTGTTCATGTTACAATATAATTGGTGATTTTAGGATACTATCAATTGTTCTATTGAGAGATGTGTTATTGTGTTCTAAGGGTAAAGGGATGTAATAGATTGAGATAATTGTGAGGTCAAGGGAACTCACTCTTCTGTATTAGTATTATATTTATATTGTTATCTTGAGTGATGTCCCTTACATGTTGTTATCTATAAATAGTTGTCTCTCGCCACTTCCTTGCTCTTTCCTTCATGGCTGTAAATAAAGACTGTTAACAACCAATGTGGCTCCTCGTCAGTGATTACAATCTTTCACAACTCCTGGGAAGGTTTCTGTAAAAAAAAATATTTTTTAATTTCGCAAGGGCGGCACCGAGGGATGGTGGGATTCTTCTCTACATACGGTATATTTAAAAAATGAAAGTCGGATGCGGTTCGACAACTTTCATCCGATTGCTATAACACTTTAAGGAGTTGATGAGAATATTACCGAAAAGGTTTCTGTGAACAAAATAATTAAATTTGGTTTTAATTTTTCCAATAGGTATTGGTAGTCTATATTATTTTAAACAAGTATAAACATAGACAGTACATAAAAATTCATTAAAAAAAACGTTTTAATAACAAGCTTGTATGTAATAATGCACTAAAAAAATAGAAAATAAATTATAGACTACTATTTAAATAACTGTAAATAAAAGCGTGGGTCACTTTAGTATCTATTGGATACCTTACTAATGTTAAGGAAGACACCCACGCTTTTCTTTATAGTTATTTAAATAGTAGTCTATAATTTATTTTCTACTTTTTAGTGCATTAGTACATAAAAGCTTGTTATTAAAACGTTTTTTTATGAATTTTTTTCAGTACTTTACATGTTTTATTTACAATAGTGTTACATGACTAAAAACCATTGCGCGCCTATTGAACGTGATGGCGCGTGCGGTGTGGTTGGATAGACATGCCTACTAATGCGGTCCAAATTTGAATTAATTCATAAAAAAATAATTAGGCATCCAATTAAGTCAAATTTAGTTTCAGATAGCATTGTCTTCATGTCTTGACCCACGTGCCAAATGTGAATCGTATCGGTCAAGTAGAACTGTCCGAATTTTCACTCCGGCGTTTCGGTTTAGACAGACTGACGACAGACAGACTGTCGAGGAAGTGAGTTAAATAAAAGCTTGTAAAAACAAAACCCCTTTTTTACTTTCTCGTATATACAAAGTATAGAGAAAGTCATGTAATCGTGCAAAAAAAAAAATCCCCAATTTTTGCAAATCTCGACGTTTTAGGGCTCAGTGAGTCGGAAAAAACATAGTTTTGCACTTGTCCGTATGTCTGTGTGTGTGTGTGTGTATGTATGTCTGTGTTTGTGTGTAAACACGATAACTTGAGTACCGTTACAGCTAGGTTGATGAAATTTCATATATAAGTATTTTATGAAAATCGTAGATCCGTATCAACTTTTGAACGATTTCCGATAACCAAAAGTGGTACTTTTTCTACTTTGAATTTTTCAAAAGCCTATAACTTGAGTACTATTTTAGATAGATAAATGAAATTTCACATGTAAGTAAAAGATCTAATTCCCTACCTTCTATCAAAGTAGTAATTTACGCTATTTCCGATTTCTAAAAAAAACTAATGTAAATTTATAAAGTACTAATAATATTGCGCACTATTATGCACATTTTATTTGGCGTTCACTTGGTGTGCAATTCTTTTTTCTACGAGATTTTATTCTATTTTAAAAAGTTTAAGTATTTAAAATGGATTACAAATCATGTCTATATCCCGAGTTCCGCATCCCCTGTTGTTTATATAAGAATATTCGAGAAAGATTAGGGGATATCACTCCCGGTTTATTTCATAATCTAAACAATGTTTCATTCCAATGCTCTTGATCAATAAAATGTTTCTTTTCCTAAGTTTCCGATAATGACTTTTTAAAAAGCTGAATTACAATTCATTTCATTACTCACTTTCCGAAGGAATATACGTTTTCTTCATGCATCTCTACAGTTTCTTCCCCTTTCACCTGCCCACCAAATTCGAAAAAAAGTATTTCATACAAAAATATAGAAAAAACAGTATTCCGTGACCCCCCCCCCCCCCACACGCAAACACAACCCTCAAACCCACCTCCGGACAGTTTTAAATGCCGCTCCCCGGAGATAAATATCTAAAAGAAAAACCGGGTAGCCTTTTATAAAGAGAAGGGAGCTAAAAGTCACCAGTATAGCCCGTGTAACATATACCGATGGCTAGTACTAAAAGAAAATCATGCAATTTCTTTATTTAGGCCGTAGGCCTCTGGCTATGGGCTTTGGCCTAGTCTAGGATTTCGTTACTAATAATAACCCGGAAATCGATTTTCTAAATTAAAAAAAAACAACCCAACATAGGTCACGTGCCTTGTAAGAACCAACCAAATACTGTTTTTATGGAAGCTGAAGCGGTCTATTCTCATGCTCTAGACATTAGATATTAATACTAATTAATAGATATATAGATCTAGATCTAGACCTAGATCTAGATTCTAGATCTAGACTTATTAATAATGTGTTAAAAACTAATTTTACTCTAATCTTCTGATATCAATATAGATTCTAGATCTAGATCTACTGTTTATTTGGATTCAAGGTTTTAACAATTGTTTAGGTAAATTTTGTCATTTTATTTTTAATACATCGACTCTCATTCTAATTCTAGAGTCTAGATCTAGAAATCTAGATTAGATCTAGATCTAGATCTAGAATGATAGAATCTAGCTAGATCTAGATCTAGATTTAGATCTAATCTAGATTCTAGAATATATTATATTATATAATAAGTAATAGATCTAAAGAAGGCAAGATCTAGAATTTAGATCTAGATTTTCTCTACGAAAAAAAAGTACGTCAGTAGTACTGACAGTACGTAGGAAGATCTAGAATCTAGTCTAGAATCTAGATCTAGATTCTAGACTAGATAGATAGTCTAGATCTAGATTCTAGTTACTACTACTAGTACTGACTACACTACACTAGAATTAGAATCAAGTTAGTTAGAATTCGAGACTCTAGATCTAGATATCTACTAGTACTACTACTATACAAAATCTAGATCGATCTAGTATTCAGTAGCTAGTCTCTAGCTAGCTAAATTCTAGATCTAATCTTAATTCTAGATCTTGTAGAATGTAGATCATCTCTAAACGTAAAAGTTCTAGATTTAGATCTAACTCGATTCTAGAAATCAGTTTGTCTCATTGCCGAAACCCCGAATCAGAATCTGACCCTGATTTAAGAGATCTCTAGATTTAGTCTACACACATAGAGAGTCTATATATTGTTGGGATATGTGTTTAAACAAGGAGGATGGTGTGAACGAATATTAGTGCGAAAGTTAATGACGCATTGAATAGTTACGCGGTACGCAATAATGTGACGTTTTGGTGTAGGTTCGTTGTTGTCAGGGAAAGAAGTTAAAAAGTACTCTTGTTCTTAATGTCTTCCTGCCGAATCATTTGTATACGTTGTTGTGCTTTGGGATGAACTACTGAATGGCTAGACAGAATATAATGGTAGTGTAGACCCTCTCACTGCATAGCTTGTGGGACACATAGGCTCAGTTATTACATACATATATATATATATATATATATATATATATATATATATATATATATATATATATATATATATATATATATATTGTTACGACCACCTGGTGTTTGACCTGGGCTGACCCGTATGTTGGGGTAGCGATCTCACGCTCATCCATCAACCTGGCGGTGGTCAGAGGCTGACCAGTGCTGGCCGTGTGAACCTTTGGGCCGTGACAGCCATACCGGATTGGGTTCCACGCTGTGGGCGGCGCATACCTGGTGTCTTGGGGTCCCAGCTATTAACGTGGCCAACAGCTCGTGATTTACGGCTGGGAAAACCTTCCAGATCGCACAGGGCCGAGTGGACGGTCATGGACGGATCTGACCTAGGGTCAGGCTTTAATTAAAATCGTTCCCACGGTGTAGAAAGGGGGACGAGTACTTTAGGAGGGTAGACAGCAGACTAGGGGGACTCTCGACACACACGGACACTCGGGACTCGGACACACTCGGAGACGGACGGACTGGTCTCGGATAGCTAGGTTTAGAGGAGACAGACATGGGTCGTCTCTGTGAGCTAGTGGAGAGCCACGACATGTACTAGACCTAGGCTAGATAGACCGTTAGGGACAAGTAGGGTAGTCGTACTAAGAACTTTAGTTGTTGTAGTTACTTGTGTATATTTCTGATTGTTGTACTTCGGTGGCGGGTTAACTTTAAGTGTTGTGATTTGTGGCGAATAAATAGAGATTACTGAAGTTGGCTTTTATTTATTTTTATTTTTCTTCTTCTTGTTTACGATTCCCTGACTAGTTCGAAAGGATTAGAGAAGGGGGTACGTAACAATATATATATATATATAGGCCTATTTATTTATTTATTTTCGTGGTTGGGTGTTTGTGTAGATGCTATAGATTATGCACATTTCCATTTTGCTAGCTTAGTAACTTTTACAAAACTCAAACTTTCAAACTGGGTTGGCGTAAGGTTAGTTCATGTCAATATAGAGTTTTTTTTATCAATTCCTATTACAATTTATTAAAACCGTTTTCTAAAACGCGAAATAGCGGCTAAAACTCGTTTTCTATCATTGCTTTTTTATAATGTGAAAAAGTGACGTCACACCATCTGAACTCCCCCTCATCACAAACCGTCACAAAATTACGGACCCCCTACGAGTGTGATGTCATTTATGGACGATTTTATAATAATACCATCTCTCTTTGTTTTTTATAAAAAGGTTATGGAAGGTTTTTGAAGGTCTTTTTTTTTTTTTACTGAAAAAAATGTTCGGACAAATGCAAAATGATATCAACAACCATAGCTCTTCTGTTATATAGGCTGCCCATTATGCTGTTCAGTACATGCTTTGGTTGGTGTTAGGATTGTTACATATAAGTATTCGCATAGATTTAGAGTAGCGCCCCTTTTGTTTACATGTTTTCATTACCCTTCAAACTATAGTCTATTTTAGTTATATTGAGATTAAAGAATGTAAATAAATAGTACACACAATTCTGTAGAATAGGAACGATTGGGAGGGAAGTGACAGATAGCGCAGGAAATTACAAGGTTAGGTATAGTATAAAAGGTGGGATTAGGAAAGTTTGGGGGTCCATTCTCTAAAAGGCAGTCTAGGTTCGTACTTTCAAACAATAAAGAAGTTAATTATATACAGACTTCTTGCTGGGTTATTGTCAACCCTCACATCACTACAGTTGGGTGACGCTTACCTTGTCATGTTAAAATAAATAGCATGTACAGGGGTGCCACTTTTCCGGGATATCCGGGATTTCCGGATTCGAGAATCATATTTTTTTGCCTTTCTGTATTCGCAAGATTTGAGTTTGAAAATTTCCGGGTTTGCGGTTGTTCGCGGTTAAAAGTTTTAAGCTTGAAAATTTTGGCATTTTAGAAATTGTTTTTATCGTCAAGACTCCCGCCAGTGACCCTTTCCGCCTTTCACGCATGCGTCGACAGTACAATATCCACTGCTGTGTAAACCTAGAATTAACATTATTGCGCTGTCACTTTCGTGGCCTTTGCCAAATCAGCAGGCGTTTCTGTCACTGCGACCTTAGATTGTCTTCTAGGTCTATCCTAGCTTACCGTGACCTCGAAGTATAGTATAGTGCTGGATCTAGATCTGTAACTATTAACCAACAAGATTTCCTAATGCCAGTAGGCCTATTTATTACGTTCGTGAAAAAAAAAGCAAATAAACGTCATCGACTATCTCACATGCGCTGTAGACCAAATATACACTGGCTGTATCAGATGGGTGAGGCTGTAGACGGAACTTTTTTGACGTCATTCGTGGTGTGGCTGTCTGACTATTTATGACATGGGTTGGGGTAAAATTCACATTATTTGCGTGACGTCATCAATGGGCTACAGCTAGGCTGTGTAATAAAAATAACTGTCCTACCATTACCAGCTCACTAGCATCGCCAATCGTCTTCCTTTTTTTTTTTTTTAAAAAGCGGAAAGATTTTGCGCCGATCTAAAAAAAATTGAAGTACTATTATATGAATGAAACAGAACTGTGCTGTTTTCACTCAACTTTACGGACACTTTTTACCACCTCTTACCCGCTTCTTTAAGGTCGTGTCTCATGGTCAAGGCAGTTCTACAAGTACATGCGTTTTCTTATTTTAACGTGTTTATTTTTTTTAGGACCCACTACTAGATTTAAGAGAAAAAAAACTAGATCTGCATCATTTAAGGTCATTAAACAAAACATGTAGGCCTGCTATAATTTATTTACACGATCTAGCAGGGTCTAGATCGAATTGTTTTTTTACTGTGGTAAAACTTCCTCGAAATCTTTAAAAAACCTAGAAGTATCATGTTTGAGAAAAATTGCCGCTGTCACTGCCCCCTCCCATCCGCTTGTAAAAAAATCTGCTTTTCACTTTAGCAGTCGGTTACATCTCTATCATGAGTATTTTACTAGCTTAGTTACTTCTGAAATTATTTCTTAGTAGAAAAAACAACTTAATACTGTTATTCCGCTACATGAACTTACTTAAAACTTCGACGAAATTTCTTTGCCTCATCATGTATATCAAAGATGGGGACATTGGGGTCGTCCATAAATGACGTCACACTCGTAGGGGGAGGGGGTCCGTATTTTTGTGCCGGTATGTGGGAAGGGGGTAGGTTCAGATGGTGTGACATCACACTTTTGCATTATTAAAAAGCAATATTAGAAAACGAATTTTAGCTGTTATTTTACGATTAAAATACTCTATGTTGACAGAGTTCAGACAAGATTTTGAAAAAATATCGTATTTTAAGAAAAATTCAACTGCAATTTTGAAGGGGGTTATAGGCTGAGGTATGATGTCATTTTAGGGAGTTTTGTCTGGATTTTTGTGACGGAAGGAGGAGGGGGAGGTAAAAATCATTTTAAAAAAGCGTGATCGAATGCAGTCATCCATTTATGGATGAACCCATTGGTTGTTAATTGGGAAAACAGTGTTTTAGATTTTTGTTGTGGCTGTTAATAATTAAAGCCCTAAATAACTACAATAAGTTAACCCTGTATTTAATACAGTGACAATCTTATTAGAGGTCATGCATATAACGGGCTTATTATTCAATAACAAGACGTAGAGGTTAGCAAAATATTTGTTACTTAACAGTTTGCTGATTTCACACTTTAAAATCAAGATAGGAATTTCTAAAAACTTAAATACTTGGTTATGTTATAAAAGCAGGCATATAACAGTGTACATTTGTATTGTAGGCCTACCACTTGTTGGAGTTCAGGCCCACTAAAATATTTCTTCACATTTCTACACATTTCTGTATTAACAACAGAAGACAAAGTGTGCCTATTGTCACTATAAACAAAGTATTAGTAACATAAACAGTTGTGTTGTATTGTGGCTTACATGCATAGGGGGGGAGTTCTAGAATAATAGAATAACACATTATGGGGTAGGCCTAGAGATGGGACTAAAATTATAAACTAACGAGCCGACCCGCAGCGTATCATACGCTGCTATTTAGTTGTTTTATTTTCTACTTTTCAGTAATTCATAATTTGTAAATTCGACAGTACCAATGCTGCCACTGAAAATATTTGCTTTAAAACACTAACCCCCCCCCCCCCCCCCCACTTTCCCCTAACCCCGACCCTACACCCCCCCCCCCCCCCCGTGAAAGCAGCCTCCTCTTAGTTATTTCTTAGTTACCTCCTGTAAGTTTAAAATGGAACTAAATTATCTGCCCCTAATAAAAACCCGGCTGTACGGCTCTTCGATTTATAAACATTTAGCTTTGTAAAAATTTAGAGTGAACACCGCTCACCAGACAATGTTGGGGTGGGGTGGGGGTGGTAGTGATAGTGATAGAGAGAAAGAGAGGGTACTGCAAGGAGGCGCTTGCAGCTTGTTTTCTAACTGATCCCAGAAGAGAATTATATATATAGATTTTGTTGTATGCACAATCCTTTAAATATTAATTTTCATTTGAAGCTTGTTACAAAGAAAATAAATCTATTTTAAAGGAATGTATATTGAACATGATATGAATCAAATGTCTCAAAAAAGAATGAAATTTCACATGTAAGTAAAAGATCTAATTCTCTACCTTCTGTCGAATTTTGACTAATTTCCGTTGATTGGAAGTAGTAATTTACGCTATTTCAGATTTCTCAAAAAATGCATGTAAATTTATAATGTACTAATAATATTGCGCACTATTATGCACATTTTGTTTTGGGGGTCGCTTGGTGCGCAATTATTTTTTCTATGAGATTTTATTCTATTTTTAAGGGGATATGCGCGGAAAAAATCACAAAATTTCTTGTTTTTCGTCATGATGGGTTTCTTGCACTTTTGGATACTTTGCCCATTTTTGTATAAAGAAAATAATAACTTTAAAGAGAAAAAAATATTTTATGTGTTTGAATTAAGATTTTTATGTCCCTATTAATTAAAAAATAATCAATTTTCCCCAATCTAACAAGCTCTCTATGAAAAGTTTTATATCTGTCATTATATTGTATTTGACATCATTGGAAAGCTGCATTTCTCATGTATTTAATAAACTTAATTTCCTACATCTTGGAAACACCCAAAGTTTACAATCAGCTTAGCAGTTTACACAGATATGGTACTTTCCTGACCTACTTTTCGTTACTTTTGGCTGTTTTTCTCAGTTCGCAGGTTTTTAACACTAAAAAGCCTACTACTTTTTTATTTATTAAACAATTCCAACCATATTTTCAGTAAATGTTCTTGATGCAAAAATACAACTTTTGTCACGAGGGAATTGTGATTGCTTTCATAGAAAAAAAGTATTTGGTAATTAATATGCACATTTTGAAACTTTTGAATACTAAAAGGGGTACGATTTTTTAGACCTTGTAAAATTCTTACTAGTAATTATTTCAAAAAATTGTCGTGACAAAAGTTTTAATATATACTGAAATATAAGCAGTTTAAATTTGATTGCTACAGGTGCATAAATAAAAAAGCCTTAGTATTTTTAAAAGTACCGAAAAATTCAAAATGGCTGAGGTTTTTTTGGGTTTCCATGACAACCAAATTTGTTTTCGACCCTTTTTTTTTTTTGCTGTTTAATATTTACTTTTATATGCCAAATATGATAAAAGTATTCAAAAGGCTTTAGATCTTAAACTGTAAAAAATAGAAAAAAAACAGCATATCCCCTTAAAAGTTTAAGTAATTAAAAATCATGTCTATATTCCAAGTTATATAAGAATATTCGAGAAAGTTTAGAGGAGATCACTTCCGGTTTATTTTTTACTGCTGCTTTGATGGAAAAAATCTAAAATAAACCAGAAGTGATCTCCTACTCATTGAGGTGTAAAATGACGAGATTTTTAATCTTGATTTTTTTGCAGCGCGATTACAATACTTCTATACTTCGTATACGGGAAAGTAAAAACAAAATTTTCATCCATGTTTACAAAAATGATGGAAGGATTCTCAAATTGTTATATGTCCATTAAGAATAAAGAATATTAGGGGAAAAACACTTATGTATATTTGCAATTTTGGAAGGGCTAATTATTTTATTTTATTGACCTCAGTCCAAGTTCAGCTTATACAGGTTGCAGTTTTGTATACTACAGTCATTGCTCTTTCTTTTCAACAGGTGTCATCCATGAGCAAAATAAAGCCAGGAGGAAGTAGTGACAGAAAGGGTGATGGTGTTGTGGATGGAGAACCTTCACGTTTAATGAATTCTCAAATAGCAGCTGGTCTACATTCTGGTCGTGCAGTAATTAATTCTCAGACAAACACAGCCCACACATATTCAGTTTCACCTCATCAGGAAATGAAGAACTTTGGGGTGAGTTCATAGCCGTAGGGGCAGTATTCTTTATCTCTAACATTACTACCCATGTGTCTTTAAGAAACAGAACATTCACTATTCAAATTTACATATATTTTTATTTTCTCGTATATACGAGGTTTAGAGAAAGTATTGTAATCGTGCAAAAAAATCTCTTGAAATTTTCACAATTTTCATGTATTACACCTCAGTCCTTCATCACATCCGAAGTATAGAGGACTTATTTTAATTGGGCAAAAATTATCAATCCAGATTTATCAAAATTAAGAGGTTTTATGCGTAATCCATTCTGAAAAACTGGGCTTTGCAATCCTGTCCGTATGTCTGTGTGTCTGTCTGTGTGTGTGTAAACACGATTACTTAAGTACCGTTACAGCTAGGTTAATGAAATTTCATATATAAGTATTTTATCAAAATCGTAGATCCGTATCAACTTTTGAGCGATTTCCGATAACCGGAAGTGGTACTTTTTCTAATTTTTCAAAAGCCTATAACTTGAGTACTATTTCAGATAGATAAATAAAATTTCACATGTGAGTAAAAGATCTAATTTTCTACCTTCTGTTAAATTTTGAGTAATTTCCGTTGACCGGAAGTAGTAATTTACGCTACTTCCGATTTCTCAAAAACTAATGTAAATTTTTAAAGTACTAATAATATTGCACACTATTATGCACTTTTTTATTTGGCGTTCACTTGGTGTGCAATTCTTTTGTCTACAAGATTTTATTCTATTTTTACAAGCTTTTATTTAACTCACTTCCTCTGTCTGTCTGTCGTCAGTCTAGATGGAAACGCAGGAGTGAAAATTCGGAAACTTCTACTTGACCGACACGATTCACATTTGGCACGTGGGTCAAGACATGAAGACAATGCAATCTGAAACTAAATTTGACTTAATTGGATGCCTAATTGATTTTTAATGAATTAATTAAAATTTGGACCGAATTAGTAGGCATATCTAGCCAACCACACCACACGCGTCATCACCTTCAATAGCTGCGCCATCACGTAATGGCTGCGTTCAAAAACCATTGCGCGCCTACTGAACGTGATGTTCAGAAGGCGCGCAATGGTTTTTAGTCATATAACTCTATTGTAAATAAAACATGTAAAGTACTGAAAAAAAATTTCATAAAAAACGTTTTAATAACAAGCTTTTATGTAATAATGCACTAAAAAGTAGAAAATAAATTATAGACTACTATTTAAATAACTATAAAGAAAAGCGTGGGTGTCTTCCTTAACATTAGTAAAAGTATCCAATAGATACTAAAGTGACCCACGCTTTTCTTTATAGTTATTTAAATAGTAGTCTATAATTTATTTTCTACTTTTTAGTGCATTATTACATAAAAGCTTGTTATTAAAACGTTTTTTATGAAAAATTTTTAAAACTTTAAGTATTTAAAATGGATTAAAAATCATGTCTATAGCCCGAGTTCCCATCCCCTGTTGTTTTATATAAGAATAATTGAGAAAGTTTAGGGGAGATCACTCCCGGTTTATTTTTACAATGATTTTGTTAAACCTGCAGTATAGTCAGTACTGAGAAAGGGCATAGGTTGGTCTACATTTAAAATATCTGCAGTTTATCACTGGTCAACATCCTATATTGTGAGGCATAAGGCTATTTGGGCAGCATTCCCCAAGGGACTATTTTCAGGATAGAAAAACCTCATCTCTCAGCATTAACCAATTAGTAGCTGTCAACAATTATATTTTCATTGGACTTGTTTTGTATTTAACTAATCTCTAATGACTCAGTTGCATTATTTCTTATTTGCTTTCTTAATGCCTCGCCAGGCAATGTTTAGTTTCAGTTCTGTCAAATATTTGTCCCGTGTAACATATTTCCATTGGCTGTTTTATTCTTCACTTAAATTTTAGGCAGTCAGCTACAGAAAGTGGCCATAAGAAGTGATTTTTAGGGGATAGTATAAACCCACATTTTTCACTTTTTTAACAAGTTTCACAGTAAGTTCTAACTGTTGTTGATTCAAATACAGTTATTGCATAAAATTGCAATTTTACTACTTCAGAAATATCCATCCCTTCCGTCCAGACTAGACTGCACTGTAGTAACTTAAATACATTTTGTCATGTGTCAACTTGCCCCTCTTACCTCTTACCCACCTTCAATGATTTAAATGGCTTATTTTAACATTTAATGCGTTGTAGGTTGGTTGAATATTAGGACATATTTATGTGTTTATACAACATGTAGACATACTTGTATTTTGTTTATTAATATCAAATTTTGTTTATTAATATCAAATGTAATGTTTCTTTTTAACAAAAAACAAAACATAACTTACCAATTTTGGCACACTTGTATCACATTCACTACAGAATTAATTAATCCAATGAATATAGTATACACTTTTTCATGGAATTCACAATGGAGGAAACTAAATTATAATTCAAAGTTTGTCTGTATTTAACATGTAGTCCAATCAAGACAGGTGATCGTTCTACTTCATTCGGTTTCTTTGATTTCTTTGCAAAATATGGTTGTAAAACCACCTTTCTGTTTATCCTTTGTACACTCCCGTCATCCCCATATTTTGCTATATTAGAATTTTTTATGCTTTTCGGCATTATATCCTGTCTGCCTTTTGGCTGTCAGCCTTATGGCTGTCTGCCTTATATTCTGTCTGCCTTTTGTCCGTGTCGGCCTTTTGTCCTACACCCGTTTTAAACAGTGCAATAGACTATTGATAAGATGGGGCGTTATAGTCATTCACTAAATTAAATCAAGCATGTTCGCCAGCAAGGTGCAATTTGGCGCCCCAGTATCCTATATGTGCTATTGCGCCTTGGCTTGTTTTAAACAGTGCTTGAGATATTTCTAACAAATAATTATTATTATCGTTATTTCTAACAAATAATTACTAGTAATATAATTGTGGTGTTAGGGGATGTTATTTAACATATATATATAAACAACTCGGCCTAAAACCATCAGAAATTATGTTCTATGACAACGGACAAATCAACTGCCAGTGGAAGTAGAAATCCTCCAGAGAAAATGGAAATGGATTGGCCACACACTCAGGAAGTCTGTATACAGCATAACAAGACAGGCCCTCACCTGGAATCCACAGGGCAGGAGGAGGAGAGGCAGACCAAGAAAGACCTGGAGACGTGACCTGGAAGAAGATACCAAGAAGATTGGATACACCTGGGGACAGTTGGAGAGACTAGCCCAGGACAGAGATGCCTAGATAGCTCTTGTCAACGGCCTATATCCAAGGAGGGACGACAGGCAAACCTAACCTAACCCAACTAGGCTATAACCTGTTGACCGCTGTTGCGTGTTTTATTATGGAAAAAGTTGTTGTGTCTTTCATTGTTTCACATTTTCTGGCCATTCCGGTTGACTTCAAGGAGGGGTTGAAGGTGGTTTTTTAAAATATTTGAATTTATAAAATAATTCTAAATGTTTTTTTCAACTGCTTATATTCAATACAAAAATATGAAAATGAGTGTAATCGATAAATATAAAAAATGTAACTATAATTTTAAGATTTGAAGCAACAAAACAAACATGACTGTTATGACATTCTAGAAATCATGGTACAACATCTCATGCTAAGCTAGCTTAGGGTTACTCAACATTGGTGTGATGTCACGTTTTTCATTGTTTCTTTTCAGACACTAATGTTAATAAACACAAATCAAGAAACAGATATTGATATAAAATTTACTTAGCATGCAGTAGTTTTTGCCGTATAGACCCTTATTTTTAGCAGGGTACCATTTATGAATACGTCTTTCATTAAGTCTCACCTAAATCACGCCAACATCTCGATCACGATTTATTTAAGGCTTATTTGAACTTTCCGTGAATTCGCATGTAGTCTAGATCCCTCACCCATTTAAAGGATAGCCATTTTAGCCGACAATTTCATGGTTAGCCAGTGATACTGATTTGGGAGAAACTCAGATTTAAAAACATTTTAAGATTTAAAAACATTTTAAAGAGCACCCTACAATAAAGACACAGTGGCACACACATTCAACGACTGAACGAAACTAGTGCTCCTGCGGTATTGTAACTGATTGCTCCCGAGAGCGCCGAGTGATGCACTTGTTGAATAATGAGAAATAATATGGGAGACTTCTTTGTTATTTTATTGTTATATAGAAGAAAAGTTTTTAAATACACAGTCCAGTGGTCACTATGAGTTCACATTGGTTAAGATACCTGTAGTATAAGTCTTTGGCATATGTCATAGCAATAAGAATTCCAATTTAAGATTTTTGCCTTTTTTTTTTTCTGAATATGGCAGTGTTTTTTTTTTTAAAGCAACATTGGATTTGTGGAAATTATATGTTTATGGTGTTTTGAGGTTATGTATTTTTTTAAATTAAAAAAATGTACCTTTGGTAAATAAGACAGTAGTATATAAAAGCATATGTTTTGGAAACAGCTTAAAGTCTTCATAAATATACTATTAAAATTTTTACATTATTCTGTAAATTATTTGAATCATAAACTGCTGTAATTTGTTTTGATCAGAAACCAGCTCGTCCAATAGCCCCAGCTCCTCCTTCTCAAGGCTTACATAGCATCACCACTCGAAATGTCCAAGTTTCACAAGCAAACATACCGAACATTATTTCTCCTGGTAAAGCAATAATATTTCTTGTAATTAAAATAAAAGTGCTTCTTAAGAGAGGAAAAATTCTTATGTTCAGTTAATTCCAGTAAAATGAATTTTTTTTTTCCGCAATATTTTCTAGCTTTAGGACCAACAACAACCAATGAGACCATTATGAATCTGGTGGCAACAACTTCAAGTGCCATTGGCACTATAAATCATAATTCTCAAACAGTTCCTGTTACTCCTTCACAAGCAAACATCCTCCAATTAAACTCAGCCTCAATGACGTCTTCAGTTGTACAACAAGGAATAACTGGCTCACCTATTCCTATAAGTATGATACGAAGTGCCAATTCAAATCAACAAACCCCAATGCAACAGTCTACTCACAATTTTTCAAATCTACAAAGAGGTGAGTAAGGGTAAAGTAGCTTTACAGTTAAATAATTTGTAGGTATGTTGTTTATTAGATAAAATTTTTCATAAGAATAAGATTAATTAGTTTTAGTATTAATGGCTATTTTATGATACAACTCACAACATTCTGACAGTCCACTAATTTGGCAGGCAAGTTTTAAAACTCAAGTGTTTGGGTATCTACTGACGGTACTTATAAGAACCTGGATTATTTTTAATCTAAGTTTAATTTTAAAATTATCGATATAATTAATAGTATTATCTCCCCTGAGTCACTGGTAGTTGGCTGTGCCGCCGTTTTTTAAATTACTGGTGCAGCGCTATTTTCAATCTCTTCCTGTACAGATCTCACACATGTTCTTAATTTTTATTCACTTTACCTTAATATTCAACTTTTCAAGCCCAAATATTTTTTATTGGCATCTTCAATAGTAAGGTAAGTGTGTTCAACTTCTAGTTATTCAATTTTAAACAAATTGTCTTTGTATAAGATCAGTATTTACACAAATACTTAGGAGTATCGTCAGGGCATATGGTTATATTTTTAGGATTTCTTGGAAATGGCAGATATTTGATGTGGAGTCGCATAAAAATTATTTTGATAATACATTATCAAAGTGTACTCAAAAATGATATTTATCCATTTAGAGGAAGGTTAGCATATGGTTTACCTAACAAAATATTAAATGTAGATTTCTATTACTAAAAGAATAACAAAAATGAATATAAAAATTGCAGGCTAGTTTACTAGATTTAGTGAAGTTTATTTGTATACATAAGTCTAGTTCTAGTAGTAAGATTTGTTTGTTATATCTATTGCAGAAAATTGTCAAATTTTTAAAATGCGGCTTATTGTAATTGCTATTGGAATCTTCCAGCAAAGGCAGGGTCAGTCCAGCGACTGTTGCAACTAAAAAAAGACAACAGACAAGAATGTGTCACTAAGGAATAAGGGAGTAGGACATGTCCCCACCTTTTTCTGTGTTTGGTACAGTCAGATGAAGATCAAAGATGTGTTCCCATAGAAAATCCAGTCTAAAACCATACTCAAAATATAATTTTGAATTGTGTTTATGTGTGAAAATTATAAAATGATTGTTATAATAATTGCCATGTTATTAGTTAATAAATTTTACAGTTTATTCCTGTTTTGTAATTTTTTTATATATGTTGGAAAAAATATCCTACATTCCTGACAGTACTTGTAAGTACCATGGTATATTTGGGCTATTAACAATTAGCGTAACTAAATTTCCTTAGACGTATGAATTTAGTGCTCCAAAAGCAACATAATTACACATTGTTTGAGACAAAATTTCATTCAGAACTTAATTCCAAAAATAAAGTTATTTCCATTTGCGTTACTGTTTGCGTTTATATTTGTGTGTTTGTGTTTATATTATATTTGTGTTTGCGTTTTTGTTAGTGTTTGTGTTTTTTAACATGCAAAAATTCCAAAATACAATTCGGATCCCAATTAGCTTTGAACCCACACCTATTTAAGTAACCAGCTCGACCAACGGTCACAGTTGATACACTTGTAAAATTTTAAAAGTTTTCTTCTGCATGTTTTTCAAACATGTTCAAGATAAAAGTTTTGTTGTCGTCCAGTCTACATTGGGTTAGATGGTAGGAATTCACTTGAGTGCCTACATTTGTTTTGATTTTTCCTTTTTCCAATTTTGTGTTTACATATGTGAGTTATAGAAATACATTTATGATTGTAATAAACTGCATCTATATTTTTTATTAGCTGCTACAACATTGCCTGTTCCAAAGTCAAATGCTCTTTTGCGCCCATCAAACCCATCTACCTTACAAATGGCAGTTGGATTGAGTACTGGTGTTAATCCCCCTTTGTCTCTACCTCAAGCACGTACACCTATTTACCAGAATATAAAAACAACCACAGGACAGACAACAAGATCTCAGTCACCAGCAATTGGAGGACAATCCACAGTTCAGCCTCAACCACAAGATTTATCTCGGTACAGTATATGGTTTCCATAGTTCCCTTTATTTTTAGTTCGCCTGTTTTATTATTATATAAATTAAAATACTCTTTGGAAATGCAATCTTAAATTTACCAAAATAGTGATTATAATTTATTTTGAAAAGTATAAATAAAAAACAAAATCTGCTAATCTCCACATTACATCATGAGTTTGGATGTTGGGTTTGAGTTTATAGGACTTCTCAGATGGGTACCTGACTTACATTAGAGAAACAATAGCATAGTGCTGACCACTTTTTTCTTTTTGTATGCCGAGGTAATTGAAACAGATTCACTCTACTTCATCTGCCACATGTGTCTTGGGCACCAACAGGAAAGATGAATGTAAATTAAGAATGATGTGGTTATTCCTAGTCTTTGCTCTATAATCATTTTGCTAACCCTTATGGTAATCAGGTCATTGTTTAACACCCTTAGCTCTGTTACATAGTACAAAGTTATGTGTATTATAATAGCTATCCAAGATAATTTGTTTGAATCTTGCTATAGATGATCATAATGTCACTATGATAAAAAGATAACTACACCTATATTCAGTCAGCTCATAATAATTGACCCCAAAACTATAACTTCAAGTTCAGCTCTAACAAAACAATAGTTGTTTATTTATGCTAAGCCAACTTCATTTCATCAGTTTATATACTGACTCGCTACATTCAATGCTATATTAAATTTACTATTAATATTTATCTTTTTATTTTACCGTTGTACATTTAGTCACACACTGCTGTTTTAATTTTCAATCATTGATATTTTCAGCGCTAATTATCCATTACATGGTTCAATTGCTTCTGTTACACCTGGGTCTCTGCCGGTGCATATAACACTAAATCGTCTGGCATCCCCTTTTAATTCTGAAGCAAATCAGGGTCGTGTAGTGTCATCCCAGTTACAAAATGACTTAACTTCAAGCAATCAGCAACGATTAAATACTTCACTTTCCACTGACACAAATGTACATCAGAGATCAACTCCTGATCTTAATCGAACTGCACTTTTTGTTGGACAGTCAAAAAACAATACTAACTTAACATCTCAAACTAAAGTAATTTCTTCACAAACAATTATTCAGCAAGGAACACCAATTAAAACAGGTATTGAGTTTTTCATAGCTATTTTAGCTATAAGCTTAGAAATTTTAAGTGACGTAGACAGTTCTTAATTAAGTTTAGGATGGATTAAATAACATAATTATAGCATCTGTAATTTTTTTCAATATAATATATCTTGCTATTACTAATTAAATTTTACCCTGTTTTAGTGACTATTAATTCAATAAATCCTTCACAAGTCAGTACCACCACAGCTGCTGCACCACCAATTCCTGTTGGTGAGTTTATTAATTTTATATAATTAAAATTATTACATTGAAAACCATTTGAATGTTCCAGATTTTGCACATATAAGTTTTTTGCTTAATCTCAATGTCTTTAATCTCTGTAAAATGTTTCAGGGTGTTAAAAGTTTGTTAAAAACTTGTTATTAGACTGTCACTTATACTAGGTATTTAATTTAATATGACATGAAATTTAGGTAGCATTTAAAAAACAACAAAAAATGTCAAAGGGTGTCGCATCAACTCTGTGCATTTGCGTTATAATAATTCTAAAGTAAAAGCTGATTTTTCTAGATAAAATGTTGATCTACATGGTAATATATTTTTTTATGTTGACATAATCATTGGAGAGAGAGCAATAATAGATATCCTGAAAGTGCATCAATTTTTCTAAAACAATAAACTTACAGTTCTATGTTTGAAATAACGTCTCGAATTAAAATATTTAAACCGGAACATTAATATTAGCTTCCACCTTTGACATACATTTCCTGTTTATATTCATATTATAAACAATAAAAATATACACTTATGACACCTAAAGGGTCAAAAGTCTAATTTTACCCTTAAATAATTAAAGATGTTAACTATAGAAGGTTTTGTTAAGTTTTTGAGTATAGCATCAGGCCAGTGTTTTCCCAGAAATTTTGAGGGTTGAAAATTTTGTTCTATTTAAATATAGATTTTTTTATTTCGCCACCCTCGTCTCACTAATGGTGATGTCTTAAGAAACCCTGCTTCAAACCAAATTCACGACATTTGTGAACGTTTTAGTGAAAAGTAGCAGACAAGCAGTTGTTTTTAAACATCTGTTAGCTACTAAGCAGGTGTGTTTATGAGTGGTGTATTTATTGAGTGGGGGAAGGGGTTCGTCTATGGAAATGTTATATGCGGTACACTAGATGAGTACGGGTTTTTTTTAGAATTATATAACGGACACTAAACCATAAAAAATGTTACATGTCAAAAGTATGCAGCTCATTTCATTTTAATTTATATATTTAAAAAAGAAAGTTTATGTGTTAATCTGTCCTTTAAGGAGTGCTACACTTATCATTCAATTGCCATGAGACTTTGGAAGTTGATAAAAATACTTTTGGAAAGGCGTCTGCCATTAAAAATGTTATTTTGGAGTGGCAACACCCCCTTGGTAGGCAGCAGTTTGGTACTCAGAGTACCCCTGCGGCTATCTTAGTGGCTATCTTAGCAGTCAAATTGTATCAGGAGTGCCCGCTGGGGGTTGCTTTACACTAGTGCCCCTGGCCTCCTTCATGAGTTCTTTACACTGAAGCCCCTTTTTTTCGGATAACAGTTACTTTTTGCAAGCTACCATTTAGCCGGTCCAAACTAACATTTATAAATGTGTCTCTAACATTCCTGGCCTTTGTCTACCCAACATCTCGGTCACTGAAACCTGTGAATTTTTTCCAGACCTACTCGTACACTAAACAACCATTCAACTTTAAAAAAACAGTAAAGCTGCTTGGTTGATGTGTGGTTATCTTTTATTTGTACACTTAGCGCACAAATATGCCACACTTTGCTAGCATTCCTCTCCAGGCTTGGATCCCCCTTCATATAGATGAGTCTGTCTCTGTCTTGGAGGCTACGTATTAGCCTCAGGTGTCAATTTATAGTCAGCATTCCTTAGCACTGTCATCATTACCTGTGGGAATGTTTAGTATTTATCTCTCACTCTTATTAATATAACTATCAGCATGTAACTATTAACCTTACAAGTAATCCAGGAAAAGTTTGCTGATGCCAGCGTTTACTGCGTTAGTCAAGAAAAGTTAAAGACATCAAAATCTCTAATGCATGGAAAAGATTTCTTAGTAAAACATATTTCTGACATATATTTATGAATTTCCACGATATTTCTTTTAGGTCATCACATATCTCATTGGAGGCACGGGGGGGGGGGGGGGGGGGGATGACATTTATGAATTAGGAGAAAATATGGTTTTAGATGTGTGATTTAACATTAAATCCCTGTTTAAAAACAGTAGGTGAATTTTTATGCAACAGCATCAGTTAATTATTAGGGATGGTGCCCATCATATTATTAAAAATAACAAGACGTTTAGGTTAGCAAAGTATTGTCTATTTAACACTTCTCTTACAATACACTTTAACTCAATATAAAATAGTTCAATACCTGGTCATGTTATAAAGATCTTAGATTTTTCTTTTGATTTCTGTATCTACTATCATTATAGAACATAGTATTAGTAACTTAACCATTAAAGACTACTAGACTTACCCGTCATACCTTGGATGACTGGGTTTCGGGTCATCCATAAATGACATCACGTCTGTGACTTTTTCACAAAATAACCAGACCCCCACATTCAAAAAGACGTTTTTTATCTTCTAAAAACACAGATTTTGGCTGAGCATGGGTCTGACCACACTATCCCTTCATATATTGACGTCACAGGTGACCTTTAAAAAGTTCTATTTAATTTTAATGACACCGACTTCAAAATTTAGCCTTCATTCTCCAAAGCAAATTTTAAAATGCTTTTTTGGCATATCTAGCCCTGGCCACCTATAGCATGTTTATATAACGTGAAAACCCGCCATTTTGCTCATGGTAAACATAGTCTAAAAATGGTCGGAAGTCATGTGTCCGGTCCAGACACCATTGTTGTTAGCTACCGACCTCGCCTCCAAGTTAGCGTGTAATCCTACTATATTTAGATCTAGAACCTAGATAGATAAATCCCATGTATTCTCGAATTAGATTTTCATTGAAGCTAAACAAAGATTTATATAAATAATTAAGGCCTGAAATAGATTAGATTGTAGATCTAGAATTTACGTTAAGTCTTGTGACCTAGATTTAGATCTAAATCTAGAATTCTAAGTTCATAACTTTTTCTTCCTTTGACAGCTGATCTGTAGATCTAGAGAAATGTATTGTATAATAAAAGTAAACAAATCATGTGACATCAATATTCAGTCAAAGAAAGTCATTGTTTGAAAATTTTAAAATTAATGTAGTTAATCTACCTATGAATAAATCAGTTAATTAATTAACGTCTTTAAATAAATTTGTGATTAACAGTCTATCTAAAAAGAAAAATTGTTTTCTACCTAATTACTATTTTACAGCTCTCCACATAGCGCAGATTTTCTACAGTAGTCAATTGGACAAACAAACAAATATTCAAACATTTTAACAAACTTGAGTTTTAGTAGTATATAGATTACAAAGGTAATAAGGACTGTATATTTAAAAAAGCTTAAACTTTATCGTATATTCTTATATAACACCACAGGGGATGGCAAATTGGGATATAGACATGATTTTTAATCCATTTTTAATAACTTTAACTTTTAAAATTATATATGTAATTTCATCAACCTAGCTGTAATTAATGGTACTCAAGTCATTGTGTTCAGACTTACACACATACATAGACACACACATACATCCGGACAAAATTGCTTGATTACAGTTCTTCCTCTTTACTTTGTATAAAAACAGTTAAGTTTACCCTACGTGCCCCCAATTGCACCTTCCATTGCATCAAATCATAACCTGGCAGGGCTTCACGGAATTCTCCTGCTGGGGAGCCACCCCCTTATCCACAGTGTTCGTACGAAGCCTGGAATTTTAAAAAGTGAGAAGAAAATGCAAGCTAACATTAAATTTGACTTAATTGGATGCCTAATTAATTTTTTATGAATTAATTACAATTTTGTCCAAATAAGTAGGCTGTCTCATCCAACTATTCCGCACTATTATACACGCGTTAGTGAAGTCTAGACTACTCTGACCTCACAGTGACCCCTTCACCGTGTCTTGTGTGGGGAGGAAGGTGGGGGATGAACTGTGACCTCTTTTGCTCAAAAATTTTCTTTACAGGTAGCCTATATTAGGCTACTCAACAAGAGCAGACCTAAATTATTACATTTAAGTAATTAACTCTCTCTCTATTATGCAATACCATTTTAATAATAGTCTAATTGAAAAAATAAGCATGAACAGATTATATAAGTCTAATGTTCGATACAAAATAATTGCATCATTTTAATCAATTATTTTACTTATTAAAATTTTAGGTAGAGTGGATTAGGCAAAATTAGAAAAGTGATTTTCTGTCAATTTGGCTAGAGAAAGTTCAATATAGCTCATTTGCATAAAATAAATGTCAATTTAATATAAGGAATTATAATGAGAGTAAGAATGTTGCATCATTTTATAAATTATTCGCGAACACATTATCTGTATAAAGACTAGAATTTTTCCAAAAAAGTCTGGAATTTCATTTTCAAACAGTAGTGCGAACCCTGTATTTACTACCCGAAGTTTCATAGCTATCCGATGAAAGGTGTAGTAATGTAAAAAGTACACACTCATGCAGACATACTTTCATTTTTATATAAATTGATGTGAATTTTAAATAAAGCGGGAGTGATCTCCCCTAAACTTTCTCGAATATTCCTATATAACTCTACGGGAGATTGTAACTCGAGATATAGACATGATTTTTAATCAATTTTTAATTACTTGAAACTTTTAAAAATATAATAGAATCTTGAGAAAAAAAAAATGCGCACCAAGTGAACGGCAAAGAATATGTGCATAATAATATATATATCATAATAATATATAATATTATTAGTACTTTAAAAATTCAAATGCGTCTTGAGAAATCAGAAATAGCGTAAAGAACTACTTCCAGTCAATGGAAATTTCTCAAAATTTGACAGAAGGAAGAAAATTTTATCTTTTACCTGCATGTAAAATTTCGTTTATCTATCTGAAACAATACTCGAGTTATAAGCTTTTGAAATACTAAAAGTTGAATAAGTTCCACTTCCGATTATCGGAAATTGCTGAAAAGTTGATACAGAACTACAAATTATGTTCTTGGTCATTCAAATTTTGACACAAGGAATATATCGATAATGAAAATGTCAATGGACCCAACCTAGAATAACCTAGAAGTTATTTGGGAAGCCCATGAATTATTTTTTTATAATCTTTTTTTTTTAAATCTTCATGGTGCAATTAAAATTAATATGGTTATAAAATCCTGGCTGTTTGGTTTTTTTTTCTGATTTTAAAAAGAGTCTATGCATTTGATTTTTTAGTTTTTACGGTAATTAAACACAATTATTATATAAGGCAAAGGCTATTTGGTTTTGTCGTGGTAATGGCAACATAAACGAAGACATCTTGCTATTTGAAAAAAAAATGGTAGAACGAGGTCATATGGTTTAAAATAGCAAAAAAAATTTTAAAAACTTTATTTTCAACCTTTTGTAAAAAAGTAACTATGAGATGTGGGGCTGTCAGAAATCAATCACAGCATTCCCGTACAGCAAATCAATGATTGTCTTATGAAAGTGAACTTGGGCTTGATGAAAATAAATAGAAAAGTAGCCTTTGCTTAAACTCAAAAAATTATTTTCAAGTTCTCTTGGTTTGCAAATTTTATAATAGTGTTTCCAAAACTATTAAATTCTTTAAGTTTATTTTTATTATATTTTACGGCTGTTATGAAGTCAAAAAAAAAAAAAAAAAAAAAAAAAATATATATATATATATATATATATATATATATATATATATATATATATATATATATATATATATATATATATATATATATATATATATAAACGAATTTTATTCAAATCAACAATATGATGGAAGGATTCTCTTCAACTCTGTGTTGTTCATTAAAATATTAGAATACCTACTTCTATAATTCATATCATTACAACATATAGCTTCAGATAGTTGGAGTTTATATGCTGATTTTTCTCTTTACTTTTTTCCACATGTGCTTATTAAAAACTGATTATATTTATCTCTGTTAAAGAGATACTAGTTTTTATTTTGCTTTGAAATAACTACCTCACTTCTTGAACATGAAAAGTAACTCCATGCCAGTCCTCACATACAGCTATTCAAATTAAAAAAAAACCCTTTCTGTTTGTTTCATTTGACAGAAACTTTCCATTAAATATTTCAGCTAAAGTTACACCACAACGGCTGCATTCAGTTGGCAGTATTTTAACAACCTCACTTCCAGCACATGCTGTATCTTCTGGAACAGTGCTGTCATCCATAACAGCTACTCATACAAATACTGTAGCTACATTGTCAAGTGCACCATTGTCATCTGCACTTTTAGATGTAGGAAGACATGATCAGTCAGGTCTTACATCAAATCATCCATCCTCTGGAGGCATTATAATATCTTCTGAATATCAGGTAATTTTAATTCTGGTGATTTCCAAACTTTTCATTTATAAGATTTAATTTATTTTGCATTGTCTATTTTGTGGGCTGTAGAAAACTTTTTAACTTAATTTTGACCAACTTCTAATGATTCAGATTCATTCGTCTTGAGTGATAATGCAAGAAAATCTGTTTCTTAATCCAAAGAGACATTAAGATAGTCTTTGAAATTTAATTTATAAATAACTAAATTCAGTAACAAAAGGGGAGAAAACAAGATTAAATACCAACAAATTAAAATGATAAAAAGTTTTTTATATTTGATTATTGACCTCACTAAAATTTAATTTTTATCCTAGCACCTCCATGCTTCTTATATATTCTTATATATATTACTCATCATATGGGCGGGGGTTTATGTTAGAAGAGGTTACTTTTAGACTGCATTATAATATGCAGCTGTGCCACTTTTCCAGGATATCCCAGATTCAAGAATCAAATTTTATTATTTTTCTGGATTAGAAAAATATGATTTTGAAAGCTTCATGTTGGTATGTCAAACTGCCGTTAAAAAATGCCATTTTCACCTGCGTCAACCAAATATAGTAGCTTTTCACTTCATAGTTTCGATAATAAAAAGGGCTCGTACCATTAAAAAGTAGATTTTAAGCCCTCTAATTATGTGTCATTTTTATAGTTGTTGATAATAATATATCTCATTTACCAATTGAAAACTATCACCGAGATGATTACAAGCTTTTATTTAACTCACTTCCTCTGTCTGTCGTAAGTCTGTCTAGACGGAAACGCAGGAGTGAAAATTCGGAAACTTCTACTTGACCGATGCGATTCACTTTTGGCACGTCGGTCTAGACATGAAGACAATGCAATTTGAAACTAAATTTGACTTAATTGGATGCCTAATTAATTTTTTATGAATTAATTAAAATTTGGACCGAATTAGTAGGCATGTCTAGCCAACCACACCACACGCGTCATCACCTTCAATAGCTGCGCCATCACGTAATGGCTGCGTTCAAAAACCATTGCGCGCCTACTGAACGTGATGTTCAGTAGGCGCGCAATGGTTTTTAGTCATGTAACTCTATTGTAAATAAAACATGTAAAGTACTGAAAAAAAAATTCATAAAAAACGTTTTAATAACAAGCTTTTATGTAATGATGCACTAAAAAGTAGAAAATAAATTATAGACTACTATTTAAATAACTATAAAGAAAAGCGTGGGTGTCTTCCTTAACATTAGTAAAGGTATCCAATAGATACTAAAGTGACCCACGCTTTTCTTTATAGTTATTTAAATAGTAGTCTATAATTTATTTTCTACTTTTTAGTGCATCATTACATAAAAGCTTGTTATTAAAACGTTTTTTATGAATTTTTTTTCAATGGCAGTCGAATAACTGATTTTGACCCCTCTCTCATTCAACTCGCTGGCCTTTTTTGACCGTTTAATGTATTTCTTTACAAATACCTTTAAAATGTGCAGAATTGAATAACCTTTAGTGGGATACTAAACAAAAAAAATGCATAATAGACTAAATATTTAAAATGTTAAAAAAAACTAAGAAATTTGAAAATTATCATGTGATTCTATCATCGTATACATTTATTATGAGCATTTTCAGAAAGGTGGTCCTTTTTTCTGTTAAAACACTTATTTTGTTTATCATTTCTGAGCATGGTCAAAAAAGGCCGAACTCGACAAAACACACTATAGTGATTACTAAAATAGCTCTAGGCCCGGTCGAAGAAAATTGCGTTTTTTTTTCTGTTAACAACGCACCACCAAGCTTTTCTAAGTTGATGTTAGCAAGTTTTAGAGACTTGATAGTACAGTAAAATAAATAAAAACATGTAGCTACTTAATAAACAAGTTTGTGAGTCTAGTTTTTATAGTTTATTTCTTCAGTATATTTTTATTATTAAAGCTATAACGCCGTTCAATGATTAGACTTCTACGTAATTTTTCAGCTTCGACCGACCTCACTGCAGCTACCATTTGTTTTTTTGGTTATCTATTTAGCCTACGTAGTTGTATTTAATAAGCAAGTGTATTTTGGTGTAGCCTTACCATATCGCAATACTCGTTGAACCACCTATGTATAAATACATATTTATAACATAAAGATACATCGACTGAGGCATTCTAAATAAATGTTCTTACTTTTAAATGCACCACTGGTTCTAGAAACTAATAATTATTTCAACAAAAATATTTTCTTTATGTGACCCTTGCACTGATCCAGCCACCATTGGTTCGCATATAAATAAATCACAGACAAAAAAAAAAGACCGTTTACCTGTAGGTGTCATAATTTATTTATTTTTAATTTATTAAAAAGACGTTTTTTTGACAGATTGTGAACCCCTGCACTCTTCTGATCAAACGTGTGTTTCAAACGGACTTGTTATAGGCATACATGTAACTTAAATTAAAAGAAGCGTTGTTCCCCTACATTTTGATTTACTTATCAGATATTTTTTGGTGATGCTTTAAAAATGTACAAAATTTGTGTTTTTTACTTCCCTTTTTAATTTTTTCAAAAAGTGAGAAAAGCCAATTTTAATGCAATTAATTTAAATGATGTACTTATTTTTGAGGTTTGAAAAAAATTGAGTCTGTTCTCTGTGTAGGCCCTATGTGTGTTTGTGTTGGGTTCAAAAGATTGTGTTTGTGACATATACTTTTACAGATATAACCTCTCAAACATGGCACTTTTTAGGGTGTTGAAAAAAAAGTTAAAAACCAATTTTTTAAAACGTCATAACTTTTTTACTACTTGAGATATATGAATAAATTTAGTGCCCACTATCTTAGAATCATGAGTTCTTGACATAGCAACTTTCAAAAAAGCTCTGGGACTGTTTTAAAAAAAACAGTTTGACACCCCCTACTTCATCGTTTGCAATTTTAATTTGAACTCTATGCATTCTTATTTCTAAGAAATATAATTAATAAAAGACATAATATTTTAAATGTTAATAAAATGAAGCAATAGGCCAAGGGGTCAACCATAAATGACTTTTCGTTTTTTTTTTTTACGATTTCTCTCCCCCCCCCCCCCCCCACACACACATTGTCACTAAAAGCCATAACACCCCCCACCCTCTCCCCTAAAATGACGTCACACCTCAGCCTACAACCGCCCTCAAAATTGCAGTTGAATTTTTCTTAAAAACATCGATATTTTTCCAAAATCTTGTCTGAACTCTCTCAACATAGAGTATTTTAATCCATTCCTATTACAATTTATTAAAACAGTTTTCTAAAAAGTGAAATAACTGCAAAAAATGATTTTCTAACATTGCTTTTTTATAATGCAAAAGTGTGACGTCCCACCATCTGAACTCTTCCCCCCCCCCCCTACCCTCATCACACACCGTCACAAAATTACGGACCCCCCACCCTCCCCTTTGAGTGATGCCATTTATGGATGACCCCAAATTGTTACATTACTTAAATAGACACAGTTCTTTGAGTTAACTCTAGTTAGTTATAAAAATCAATGAATATAATTAAAACAAAAGTGGTAGTTTTCAGGAGGGTTCATGGCTTCACTTAATTTAGAAATTTTAAAATGTTACTGTTGCAGAGACAAAACTGAAATAAAACTGACAAACCGGTAAAGTGCATGTCTTCACTGTCTGCGCATGTGCATTGACATAGCCGCTCTAATGGAAAAATTACGAGACAAACTTTTGGTCGCAGACAAGAAGCAAATCTCAATTCAATGTGGGGGTTTTCTGAATGTCTGGTGGGCCACAAAAAACTCTGTGGTGGGCCACACTTTGCCCACCCCTGATATACATAATACACGGGACATAACAATCACTAATGACATAATGTATACAAATATGCTATTTTGACATTGTTTGCATTTTGATTAGCATTTTTAGAATGGTTGTCCTTTTTACTTTTTTATATACGAAGTACAGAGGAAGTATTGTAATTGTGCCAAAAATCGAATTTGTAGTTCTTTGTCAACTTTTCAGCAATTTAGAGTAACCGGAAGTGGAACTTATTCTACTTTTGTTTTTTCACAAGTCTATAAATTGAGTGCTGTTTCCAATAGATGAATGAAATTTCACGTATCAGTTAAATATCTAATTCTCTGCCTTCTCTCAAATTTTGAGTCATTTCCGTTGATCGGAATTAGTACTTTGTGCTATTTCCAATTTCTCAAAAACGGCATACGAATTTATTATATACAAATGTATTAAGCACTAATAATTTTCCTCACTATTATACACATATTGTTTGCTGTTCACTTTGTGTGCAATTCTTTTTTCTATGAGATTCTATTTTAAAAAAAAGTTAAATGGATTAAAAATCATGTCTAAATCCCAAGTTGCCATCCCGCGTAGTGTTATATAAGAATATTCTAGAACATTTAGGGGAGATCACTCCCAGTTTATTTCTGTTAAAACACAAAACTGAATATAATATGTTATGCATGGCCAAAAAAGGCAGAGCTCTGCAAACACACTTCAGCCATCACTTAAATAGCTCTAGACCCGGTCGCTCAAATTGGTAGTATTCTTTGTTAACAACACACCACCAAGTTTTCTAAATTGACTTAAGCAGGTTTTACATGCAGAATAAAAAGTGTAGCTAATTAATATTAATAAACTAATTTGTCATTCAAGTTTTTATTATTTATTTAGTATATATCTATTATTAAAGCAATAACTCGATTTAATGATTACACTTCCATGTCATTTTTCACCTTTGTCCTATGAATTAAACCCCCTTTCACTTTGTAGCAGAGTCAATTTTTTTCTCATTGCACAGTTTTATTTTGTCTTTTCTGAAAGGGATTTTTGAAAATCAATTGAAACTTTAATAATCTTTTTTAGAATTGATGGTTATTTTTTTACCTCATCACATAATCTTTTCCCTTTTGTTCCCAAGACACATGGGGGCTGCCACAGATAGCTCCCTTCACTTTTGTCATAATCCGGCAATTCTTTTTGGTAGTCTCCCAAGACCGTCCTTGCTCTGACAGCTGCTTGTCATCCATGTGTCTCTACATCTTCAATGGCCTTCTCTGTTGTCCCTTGAGGTGCCCATTTTAACTGCTAAATGTAAAAGATTCTGATTGTATTTTTCGGCTCCATTGTCAACAATATATAGCTAGAGTTTAAAGTAGAAAAACTGCTAAGTTCAGGATGGTTTTGTTTTTTGCAATGATTTTAAACAAAATAATACATGGGTGAAATCATTTATTTTAGTATAAAGTCGATGATATGTTTAAATGTATTAAACAACATTTATGTGAATAATTTCAACTTTAACAATGCTAAATGTTATGTATATGGCTTGTCCAACAAGTACCAGGAATAGATGGGGGGAGGGAGAAATATTACTGTTGTAACAATGTGCATACATATTAATGGTCCGTGCTTTTGCGTAGATGTATTTGTAGTCTGCTTGGAAATAAACCCTTAGTAGAGCCCTTTAAAAAGAAAAAAACTTTTAAGTCCTCTTATTTGTGCTTGAAAAATAACGTTGACCACAATAACAATTTTATTCCTTACATATTTTTACAACTTATACATGTGATAGTTGTGAAGAACAACTGTTAAGAATGCAAGACTAGTAAAAGTTCAGCATGGTTATCAATTTAGCCATTCATTTATGACATCCGCAAAAAATTGGAATTTTTTACCCCCCCCCCCCCCTTGTGGACATCCACAACCATTTAGTAGACTTCTCAAAACATGCTGCAAAATTACTAATATAATAACATGTAGTGTGTACCTTGCTACATTATTAATTGCTAATGTAATATAGGATTTGATATTTTCTGTAACATCTATTACTTGGCCTAGAAAGTGTTGAAAAAAAAGCATATTTCATATTTAATTAAAGATGTTGTGGACCGTACACTTTACTCAACTTTATACTACACGTGTTTCCATAACAAACCACCACCACCCTCACCCCCTTTGTTGAAGTTGCGCTGACTTTGAGTCCTACACGCCTGACCAATGAGCACACTATACACTCACTGTTATTTAAATATCTAATTGTAATGTGGTTTTTTTTTTTTTTACTTGAAAATTTTTTTTAGATCTGTGTCATCATAGGTTTTGATACAAATTAATGATTTAGACTATGATTTAGTTACACGATCGGAGTCTAAAACTAATTGTTTTTAAACTTATGCTTTAATTGTTTGAAATGTTTAAAATACCTTGAAATGTTTAAAATACCTTGAAATGTTTTAAATAATTGCCGCTGTCACTGGCCCCCTCCTGATTGCAAAAACCCAAAAACATCCGTTTTTTTTCTTATGTGGGCGGTATACAGTAACATTTCTGATTAATTTATTCACCTCTTGTGCTGGGGATATTCAACACGAGAACTGCCAATTTAATGTATAACCTACATTTCATGTGCAGCTTTAAATTTTTTTTCAATGTAAGTTTTTTGTTTTTAATAAATTCAATATGTGGACGTCCACAATTACCCGAACCCCCTCCCCCCCCCCCCCTCCCCATGTGTGGACGTCATAAATGGATGACCCTAATTGTATATATATAAGCAAGTGTATTTTGGTGTAGCCCTACCACATTGTGATAACTGTAGAAGCAGCTATATATATATAAATATATATATTTATTAGATACACAGGCACACAAACTGAGGTGTTTTAAATACATTTTCTTACTTTTAAAAGCGCTGCCGGTTCTAGTCTAGAGACTAATAATTATTTTGACAAAAATATTTTCTGTATATGACCCTTGCACTGCTCCAGCTACCATTGGATCACTTATAAATATTAATTTACTTGCTGGCCAGGCCCTGCTCTGGCCTCTGTGAAAAAACTATCTGTTAAGGACCATTACCTGTGTGTTTAGTAATCATCATATACCCGGCATTGCCCACCCTAACCACAACCAACGAAAACTAAAACAAACAAAAAAAAGCAAACATTATGCAAATCAATTACAAATACAAACAAAAACCTAACAAACCCAACCACAAACAGAAAAAATACAAAGAAGAAACAAATGAAAAAGCAAACGAAAACAAACCAAATCCAAACGCAAACCCAACCACAACATAAACACAACACAACACAAATAAAACACAAACACTACACAAACCGGGGCGGCTAGTATTATATAAAATGGTATATCTTCTTGTAGTTTGGTGCAGGTGTCTATAAAAGAGCGTTCTGATGTGACCGACAAAAACGAATTCCCCTTCGTGGGCAAAAAAGAACAGACTAAAACGAAAATGCCAAAAAAAGACATAAATAATAACCTGCGGGAATTCCCGTTCCCGAATAAAGATGTTTTTTTTTTTACATCAACTGCCTTTGATTCTCCCCCCGCCCCTGTAATGATTTTTATAAAGGGAAGTAACTGTGTTTTCTTAATCAAGTGATGTAATGAGCACCTAAGGACTAAATGCAAATAATTTTCCGACACAATTAGAAATTTTGTGAACGCTGATTCATTTTTTGTTTTAATTTTTATATTGTTAGGCTTAGTATGTAAAATGAAAACTGTTTTAAAACACTTTCAATATTAATTTTTAACTCATACATTTAGAAGGGACGGTGTGGTCTAGCGGTAGAGAGCTGGACTGCTAACCCGTAAGTTTCGAGTTCGAATCCGGGTTCAAGACAGTAGAACGTCCCTGAGTCCACCCAACTCTGATGGGTACCTAACTCACGTTAGGGAAAGTATAGGCGGCTGGGCATAGTGCTGACCACACTATCTCTTCATATGCCGAGGTCACAGAAACAAGTGAACTCTACTTCACTTGCCCCATAGACCGTCAGGTTTGAAAGGGAAACTTTACTTTTTACATACATTTAGACCATGAGCACTTTAGACATTTAACACTTGACACAATGGAAGTATCGTTTTTTTTTATTTTAATCCTTTGTAATCCACGACAAACATACATTTGAAATACAGAATTGAACTTTATATATTAAATAAGTATATGTGAGACTGTTTAACTGTTTAGAGCCATGGTTATTTTGTATTTCAACATAGTCAGATAAACTGTAGGTGTCATAATTTATTTTCTTTAATAAGACACATTTTTGATAGGTTAAACCTTTGTCAATCATACATTTTATATAACTCTTGTATACTGTTATAACAAAATATTTTTTGTTTTTAAAAAAAAATAACTCGTTTGTTTTTTACTTACCTTTTCAATTTTATTGAAAATTGAGAAAAGCCAATTTCAATGCCACTAACTGAAATGAAGTACTTATTTTTGAGGTTTGAAAAATGTTTTGTTTTTTTATCTGTGTGTTTGTGTTGAGTTCAAAAGAATGAGTTTATGTCATATACTTTTCAACATGGCACTTTTTGCATTGTCAGAAAATCTCAATATTGTTTTGTTTGTCTACCACTGTGCCAAATTTCAGCTCAGTGGTACAATGGAAGGTGGGTTAAATTTAGATGACAATACTTATGGAGCCATACACACAAGCATGCTGAGGAAGCTAAATAAAAGCCTTAAAAAATACATATGTAAATCTTTCTGCCTCCTCTAAGGTCACTTAAAATCGCCTAGGTCATCTACATGGTAAATTTCATTTCATTATTGAGGTCGGCGTGGTCGAGTCAGTAATGCTCAAGGTTGCTAAACCGAAAAGTCTCGAGTTCAAACCCTCGGGCAGATGAGGCTTGTTAGCTGGGGACAGCCACTCTTCTAGGAGAGACAACTCCAAAATCAAACAACTGCTGCCTTGTAATTTGTTCTTGGTTGGACAAAGGCTATGGAAGCAAATCCAAAAAGAAAAGCAGGCTGAAATCGGAGTCAATGGCCTCAATGGCGCATAACCAGTTGACATGTATCCTTAATTGTGTTGGAGGGGGATCCCTTCCAACACTAAAATTAAGAATGAAGACATTTCATAATTGAACAGCAAAGTGAACCCCTACCCTACCCACCCCCCTCCCCCCTAGTGAAAACAGCCTCCTCTTAGTTACCTCCCCTAAGTTTAAAATCGTTTCAAACTAAATTATCTGCCCCTAATAGCCGTCACTAAACCCGGCTCCACGAATGTAAATATTTAGCGTGAACCACAGCTCACCAGACCATGTAGGGGTGGGGGCGGTAGGGAGCGCGCTTACAGCTTGTTTTCTAGCGTCTCCCAGAAGAGAATTATATATATAGATTTCTAAAAGTGTTTTAGTTTGCATGTTTACATAGAATAATGTTTGTGACCAACTTTGATTTGAAGGATATAGCAGACTTTATATATATATATATATATATATATATATATGTATGTATAGTATCTACTGATATTTAGTTGACATTAATCACTTATCTGACAGAATCCATTGCTGATGGCTGTATTAAACATATTTACTAAATCACTAAACTTGTCAGTGTTACTGCTCTAAAAGGAAATATAAAAAATGCAAAACTTTCTTCATTGAAATATTATTTTTTTTCAGCCACGTCCACCTAATGCAATAATCACACTGGCAACAACAGTGACAACATCATCAGTGGTACCTCAAACAGACAACAGGTAAGATATTTTTTAATTTCTTAAAATTTCTGGTCACTGCAGACTGAAAAAGTATTTGGTACAGTATCAATAGTATCATATGAGTTTTTAGTATTTAGAAAAAAGTATCTAACTGCAATAAGGAAAAGCTGGCATGAAAAAACAGAACCCCTCAATGTAGATAGAGATGGTCACAAACTCTGGAGTATTGCAAAAAGGCTAAACCAAGAAGAAAACAGAGCTACTCCTATAGTCATCGACATAGAAAACACGATAAAAACGGAAAAGGATGCAGCTAAAGAATTTATAATCCACTGCAGCAAAATGGGACAAATAAATATCTGCCACCAAAGAGTAGAAGAGGTTAAAAATCAAACTGAAGTTAAAGAAAAACTACAGAAAGTCTCTCCCCCCTACTCCACTGGAATGGTAGCTCAAATTAGCACGAAGGAGCTTGGAGAAGCAATGAAGCTCCTCAAACTTAAGCAAGCTTTAGGCCCTGACAAAATTTCAAATGATATGCTCTTGCACCTGGGCCCCATTGCTAAGAAAAAACTGCTCCAAATATTTAATGCAAGATGGAAATCTGGGAAAATCCCAAATATTTGGAAAAAAGCAATCATAATACCTGTTCTCAAGATAGTAAAACCCAGGAACAAAGTCGATAGCTATCGCCCAATAAGTTTAACAAGCTGCGTTTGTAAACTGATGGAAAGAGTAGTAAACAACAGACTGACCTGGTTTCTTGAATTTAACAATCTACTAGCAGACGGACAGGCAGACTTCAGGAAGTGCAGATCTACTGAAGACCAAATCACCTTCATTTCTCAGGAAATAGAATAAAAAAACCAACCTCAATAGTGTGGGTCGACTTTGAAAAAGCCTTTGACAAGGTCTGGGAGCAAGGTTTAATTCTAAAGCTAATAAACCATCAAGTATCTCATAACATGCTAAATTGGATCAAAGGTTACCTAAACAACCGCAAAGCATTCAGTCTCCATGCAAGGAAAAAGAAGTCATACTGTAACTATAAAAAATGAAGTCCATCAAGGAGTCTTGTCTCCTACTCTCTTTCTCATTTATATAAATGACTTAAATGAAAACATCCCAAGGAGAGTAAAAAGAAGCATGTTTGCAGACGACCTTTCACTAATCAGCAATATATTGGTACTTCAAAATTTTGTCTTAAGGAAACACTTGACAAGCTCAGCAAATGGACCAAAAACTGGGGCTTATCTATTAATACCAAGAAAACAACCTATTCAATCTTCACCCTATCAACTAAACATCAAAAAATGAAACTAACCCTAGAAAATCAAGAGCTAGAAAAAAATGACCACCCCAAATACCTAGGAGTCACTTTTGACACTCGACTTACGTGGAGAAAACAAATAGAAAACACACAAAGTAATGGGATTAAAAGACTTAATCTAATGAGGAAACTGGCAGGAACAGACTGGGGAGCAAATCACCACATCCTGAAAAAAACCTACACCAGCTATGTGAGACCTACGTTAGAATATGGTGCTTTGGCTTGGGGCTCAGCAGCAAAAAACAAATATTAGCAAAATTGACAAATTTCAGAACATTGGTTTGAGAATAATGACAGGAGCCATGAAAACAACGCCTATAAAAGCAATGGAGGAAATAGCCGCTCTTAGCTCAATAGAAAAAAGAAGAGAATCAAAAATCCTCACTCAATTGCACAAAGCTAGAGGCACTGGAAAACAATAATCTAAAACACAAACTCCAGAACCCCAGTACATCAAACAGACTACAAAGAACAAGTTTCATCAAAGAAGCAAAGAATCTAAAAAAGAAATATGAAATCGAAAACATCATTTCTGAAACAATCAAAACTCAAAACCTCTCCCGCCTTGGATCTCCCACTATCATTTAACCATTAGTGACTCAATAGACACCATAGAAAAAAAATCTGACTATGATCAAGAAGAACTAAAGAAAATAACAAATAAGCACATCAAGGATCAGTACCCCAGCAATACCTGGATTAGAGTATTCACGGATGGCTCAGCTGAAGATGCCACAAAAAATGGCGGGGCTGGCGTCCTTATTGAATGGCCAAGCGGAGAAAGCCTGGAAAAGTCAATAGCCACAGGCAGCCTATTCGACAATTTAAGGGCAGAAAAAGAAGCTTTAGAGCATGCAGCAAACCTCCTGTCAGAACACCCTGAATCTCCAAATAGTCAGATAGTATTTCTTACAGATGCCAAATCTGTCCTGCAATCCCTAAAAAATCCAGAGTCCTATACTCAATCACTTAGGACAGCACTAGAAAGGCTAATAAATACCTGCAGCAGAATTGTGCTGCAGTGGATCCCGGGCCACTGCCAGATACAGGGTAATGAGATTGTGGACCAGCTGGCAAAAATTGGGGGAAAGAAAAAACAAGAATAATAAAAAACAAACACAAATGTTGTCTGACACACACCCTCACTACAATAAAGATGATGGATATTATAATTTGACACGAAAACAACAATACATAATCTTTCGACTTAGAACAGGCCATAACAGACTAAATCGACACATGCATAAAAAACTAAAAATTGGGTGTGGCGAAATATACCCTTGTGGCAAGGCCCTGGAAAATATGGAGCACATCCTTCAGGAATGTTCTTTATATAGCCAGGCGCAAGTCAGACACTGGCCCCTGCTCACCCCACTCAGGGATAAATTATATGGGGCACCTGCTGATCTGGAGACCACAGTCCGGTTTATTCACGAAGTTGGACTTGTTGTCTAAATCCTCCACCACATTCTCAATTAAGAACGAAAAAGAAGATCATGTGAGTTAAAACTGTAATGAAGGCTCACGATTGATCCTAATGTAATAAAAAAAAATCTTCTTTGATGAAAGATGGGCAGTTCTGCTTTGCTAGAGGCATTACCTCAACTAACAGTTTTTCAGGTGTTGTGGTATCTTATCTTTATACTTTGCTGTAACTTAAATCAAGTACTGCTTGGCCTACAGTACACAAATTAGGGTAAACAGAAAATCTAATACATGCATTTCTTTTCAATTGTCTCACCCTCTGTTTTTAAAGCTACCCCATCTACCAGTTTCTTTCTGCTTCTATTTTATTTTGCAACCTCAAATTGATATTGAAATCATTGCAAAAGGCGACTATGAGGAGTAGACTAAAACCCCCCCCCCCCCCCCCCCCCCCCCCACACACACACACTTTGTTGCAACTGTAGCTCTTGTGAAAGTGTGACCTCACGATGAGTACTGCTTTTTTGGCTGTGACATGATTTTTGTTTTTCCCCCAATCTGAAATAACTATGTTTCTGCTATATTTGCTTTATGCTTGCCAGATTTCAAGACTAATGTGAACTCACCTTGACCCCAACGTTGTATTTTTGTGGAACTAAAAATATGATACCACCTATTTTTAACAACACAATCTACAGTTATTCCAAAATCATAAATATTGATGTGGTTAGCTATCAAAATGGTTAATTTTTTTTCAAATGTTTTTACAAGTGTTAATCCCAAAACGCTTTTTAAAATAAATATCAGACCCTTTCTTATTTCAGCAAACCTGGTCATTTTCCATCATATGAAATGAATCTTTCAAATTACGGTCTTATTTAAACTGTCATCTGTAGTGACCATTAGTTCTATTGTCTGCACTAACAAAATCCCATCCCAAGTCATAAAGATATTACAAGTCAATGTCTCAAATTAAATTGAACTTACTGCCAAACAGGAAACTTAAAAAAGTAATTATAGGGTTAACTTCAACATCAATTACTCTATACCAAAACCTAAGTCATAAGCTCAATATTATGCACATTCTAAATCTAAATCAATGTATAAATCTTAACCAAAACTGAAATTTAACATAAATAAATCTACTTTTAAAATATTTGCAAACTGACATTGAAACTACCTATAACTTATAGCTAAACCTAATACCACCTTAAAGTCAAGTTCTCAATTTAAATTTACAATAATAAAAAGAAGACCCATTAGTCCTTCAACCAATAACATAAAGGAAGCAGGACATGCTCCACTATTTCCCTTGACCTTCCATACCCCCATGTAATTACCCCAGTTATGAAAGTTATGAAATTCCTAAAAATGGAGTAAAAGAATACCAATCATTAATTACAAATTGATAAACTTTAACCTAACCCTACCCATAAGGTAGTAGATAATGTTAAGCAGAGACAACAAATAGGGTTACGTTTAGGAAATCTAATCTAGGGTTAGGGTAAATAAAACAATTATGAAAATGAAACCATCATTAACACCACTAGCTTAATCAATAACCCTATCTGACATAAAATATATTTTCACTGTGCTATTAAGTTATCAACATACACAACTAAACATTTCACACTGTGACAAGTATTGGACTCTCTGTTCACAGAAGGTGCAATTTAGTTTTACTTTTTGATAAAGCAGGTATTGATTATTATGTATTAGTTTTTATAGCAATTCGAAAACGGTTTGTCTAAATTATAAAGAAATTTTTGTTTTATAGGAAATGTTTTATTCGTTCATTTTTGTGTTTAATTATAGAGGGAAATTAAAGTTGAAATTCTTGATGCAATTACTTGCCTTTAATAGAGACAAACAGGTTCATTTTTAATCCCTATATATAGAGTTTCTGAAAATCTGGTATTTTTCCAGGTGTTTAGTCACCAGAGCTATCTCCTTACCAATATCAAGTTTGTGTTGTATCTGCAAGTAGTCAAAATCTAATTCAGGCACTTAAAAAAGTGTATAGTTTATGTAAGGCCGCTGTCAGCTTAGGTCCGTTTTCTGTCACTTTAAACATGAGATGACAATAGTTTTATTACAGAATTAAGAGTGAATTGCGTTGTATGGCTAGAAAAAAATTCTTCTGAAATTTTCAAGTATCACATTTAATTCAGGTGTGATTAACAAACAGCAGTATAGAATTTTATATTACAGATAATTTTAGCAAATATTGTTTTTGCTATATCCAAATAATCTTAACAAACTGTTGAACCCTTTAAGCAAAAACTCTAGTGATGTGGGCAAAAGATAATTATTTATGACACATTTTAAATGTATGCTTTCCTGTATTTTCTGAATTAATATTAGCATGTCATTTTTGTGCTTATGTATGTTTCTCTATTTTTCCTCACCAAGATCAACTCATCAAATGGGTATTGCACCTGACGATTCTATGTGGATGCAGCACTATATTTATCATCAACCTTCAACTATAGTGAGACCTGGGACAGGAACTTTTTATTTACCCTCTCAAGGCAAAAGTTAGTAGGTTAATACAACTATTAAAGTTGAAGACTTAACTTTTTAAAAACATTAGTCACTTATATTTTCAGATAAAATCAGGATCTCCGCTCAATTTTTTCATCTGTTAAAGTGCCTTCAATTCTAAGATCATATAACATTTTATTGACATAATTTAGCTTTCCTTTTTTTACTTTCTCGTATATGAAGTATATAGAAAGTATTGTAATCGTGCAAAAAAAGAAATTGAGAAATTCTTGACGTTATACACCTCCCTGAGTTGGAAAAAACAGTTTTGCAATTTTGTCTGTATGTCTGTGTGTATCTGTAAACAAGATAACTTGAGTACCGTTACAGCTAGGTTGATGAAATTTCATACTTAAGTATTATATCAGATTTGTAGTTCTGTATCAACTTTTCAGCAATTTCCGGTAACCGGAAGTGGAACTTATTCTACTTTCAATTTTTCAAAAGCCTATTACTTGAGTACTGTTTTAGATGAATGAACGAAATTTCACATATAAGTAAAAGATCTACTTTTCTGCCTTCTATCAAATTTTGAGTAGTTTCCGTTGATCGGAAGTAGTACTTTAAGCTATTTCCGATTTCTCAAAAAACTCTTGTGAATTTATAAAGTACTAATAATATTCCGCACTAGTATACACATATAGCGTTAACTTGATGCGCAATTCTTTTTACTACAAGATTCTATTCTAATTTAAAAAGTACAAGTAATTAAAAATCATGTCTATATCCCGAGTTGCCATCCCCCGTACTGTTATATAAGAATATTCGAGAAAGTTTAGGGGAGATCACTCCTGGTTTTTTTTTTTTAATTTTGAATAAAGTTGCTTATGTAGTTAAAAAATTAAGTATTTATTAGGAATTAACATTAAGGTAGTTGACAAAAATCACAAAGAGCTAATTGTACATAGGAGTATCATATAAGTTGGATACTGAATATATAAAATATTAATATGATAAGAGACTAATTTTGTAAATCTCTACTTAAAAAGTTTAGAGAATGAACTTACTGCATTTGCAGTTTCATCGTTTATTTCTCAAATCTTTTAAAAACATCAATTATCTGCATAACTATATTGTTTTTTCCTAGTACAAAATCAAAGTTCTGGTATAGCTGCCAGCCAGTTGGCTGCAATGTCTGTTGCATCTTCGAATGTGCGATTTAATACAGGAACAATAACAATAGATCAACTGAGACATCAACAGCAGACAATTCACTCTTCTTTCAATACAAATACTGCATCTAATGGATTAGTGGATAAGAGTGGTAAGCAATTGGAAAAATGTTACGGGCTATTTACTACATTACTCATCTCATTGTACTTAGAACACAACAGTATATTCGTCACGTAATTTTGATCCACAATGATAAAGTCTACCTGCAACTTTTTTCAATTGTTGGGTTTTACATAAACAGTGTTGCCTTTCTCTTGTCATAAGCATGCTTCCATTGTACATCTTCAATTAATTTTTAAGAGTAATCTGTGCATTCTGTATGTACTTGACTGGGATGACAGTAGTTCCTGAGTCTATTAGGCATAACATTGTGTTGAACAACTAACATCTCCACTTTGATCACCTTTTGTTTCTTACAATTAATCACCAACACCATTTCTTCATCTGACGCCCATGACCAACATTCCTCATCTTCACCAGCATCTAACTTCTCAGCTGATTGCAAAATTAAATATACTGATCTTGCGTTTTTGAGCACACGATTTCATAATTTATAACTTCTCTAGGCCCTACTAAAAATTACATTTTTATAATTACTTGTTATTTCTTTAAATTCCAAACACGTTTTAATGAAAAAAATGTAATATCTAAGGCATTACAATTTTGCATTAAAACCAGTTTAGGTATTAATTACGAAAATAATAATTAATTTAAAAATATAATTTAACCAAATGTATGTCCAGTTTTTCCTTGACCAATATTTTGTTTTAAGTGTATAAACATATTTTCAGTTTCTGTCTGACATGAATAAATCTATAGGCCCCCCAGAATGTGCTTGTGGGATCACACAATCAACTGACTATAAAAACTGGCAGATATAAAAGTCAAAGGCTAATTATTTAGGTTTAAAATGGGACATAATTAACCTAAAGAGGGGAGGGGGAATGAGTGTCATAGGCCCTACTCTAAAAACTTGATCCTCTTTTTTTCTTAATAATTGACTAGTTATAACGTGATCCCAATACGTTTAATGAACTTGGCAGATGCAAGTTTTCGAAGAAATGGGCCTTTCAGCAAACAAATATATAGCCCTGTTCATTAGGAGCTGTTTCTGCAGGATATAGACAAGCAAAGAAGCTTGGGAAATGGCTAACAAGGGGTTGTGGTGGGAAGGGGTGATTGTACTGCGGGATGGGTAATGTCTACGACCCGCGCTATTATACACAGCATTAAATTTATAAAAACTGTCTAGCTCTAGTTGCTGACACTCCAATAAAATTTATAAAATCTTGCATGTTCTCTAATTTTTAGATAGTTTATTGTTGAATCGCAAGCCCCGTGGCTACACCATTTTCCTTTTTAAAAAAATAAAGCTGCGTGCCCACTATCTACGTTTTTTTTATACTCTGATTACTCTTTAATTATCTGGGCCTTTATAGCAAACGCTCCGGGTCAAAGGTGATGCATGTTTTATAAAATGTTCTGTAAGTGTGAACGCTAAAGTATACATGTTCTTTGGATAAAATTGTTCCAGATAAAAATAACTTTTGGCGAGCTTTGTGTTCCAGAAATGTATAGTATACATGTCGTAAGTGTAAACGCTGTGTGATGGTCACCAGAATCAGTTTCCAATTCAGATTGAGAATAATCTTTATCTAAATCCAACTCATCTTCATCTGATTTGTAAAACAAAACCACTGCTTGTTCCATTGTCATTTGTTTGGAATGCTCATTGTTGTCCTTTTCTACCCGTCTTTTCATTGTAAATTATAAATGAAAAATTGAAACATAAATTTAATTTGTTGGCGCCACAATAACATTAACTCACCAGAAAGCGAATACTATCTGTTATGCCCTTTTATAATATCGCAATTTTATATCCAGAGGGTCAGTCTGAAGTAAGGTTCTAGTACCGCTTTCTCGATACCTCAGGGCATGAAGATTTAATAGAAGTACAGAAAAAGCAGTACCTCGGATTGAAAGGGTTAAACAATATTTGTCATGTATTAACATAAACAACTGGGGTTGCATTTTGGGGGCTAAAAAAGATTAATGGCATTTCAATGGAGAAAATGTTGCAAGGTACCTCTTAAATTGAACCTTCACCTTTAAAATAACATAAAATTGATCCTAGTACACAAGAAACCTACTGGCTTTGGCAGTTTCAGGAACTCTACTTCATCTGCAAGAGGAACTTTGCTATAGTTTTGCTAAGATTATAAATCATACATATATAATTGCATGCATATACTACTACCCATAAAACAAAAAATGTCCTTTTTAACATGTGCACAATCCATATGTATATGAACATATTAGCTTAAGTTTTATTTTTAAATTTCTAAGGGAATTTATCAAGGACTCAAGCAAGCAGTAATTATACCACATCTGTTGGTGTTCAGTCACAAGCACAAGGTGGTGGATGTGGAACAGTTAATGTTTCGAGTGGACCTAGTACTACATCTATCACTAATCCTAGCTCGTCTCCTCGTCCTAGTATCCTAAGGAAACGACCCAGTGAGGCGTAAGCACAACTGTTATTAATTTTACCCTATTTGACGTCTGAGGCCAACTGACATTAATTTTTGTGAACCATATACAAATCATGATAAAATTTTCTTGGTATAAGTTTTTATTTTCTGGATATGCTTATCTCAGTATGCATGATACTAAACCTTTGCTATCAGAACAGATGATGATTTTACTGTTCGACATGTCATGCTTTTTTAAAGTTTTAAAGACATTACACCTTAATAAAGATAATGAATTTTTCTAAATGCTGTCAATACAACAATTTTTTTTGTACATTATAATGTATAAAGCTAGCTCAGTTATTTAAGTTTTATAATTACAGAGCAGGTGTTGTTATACGAAAACCTAATTTCAATTTAAATCAAGACACTCGATGCCATAGTCCTCCTAGGGTCGATACAAATTCATCTGGTCTGAGCTCACCTAAACTATCAACAAAGTAAGTTGCCTCTTATTGTTTTGTTTTTTTTTTAAAGTGTTGCTTGTAAAAATAACATGTTAGTTATTGATCAGCCTTCCTCCAAAATTGCCCCTAAAAATACTAAATACTCATTTTTAAAAAGTGTCAACGTTTGAAAAATAGTCAATCAACTTGAATCTAAGTTTATTTTTGGTATCTTTCTTTTCATTGTCCAATAGTTTAAACTCAAAGTAAAAATTTCAGCTTTTTTCTGTATTTTTTGGTTTGCTTTCATCTCCCCAAACATCCCACTTAAATATTGTTAATCAGTGGGGATTGATTGTTAGTTAGGGTGTGGTGTGTGAACTTGCTCTGATCTGGCAAATGTGCAGCTATTAAAGGCAGGCTCTTAAATGAAAAGCAGATCACATTTTATCTCTCAGTTAAGCTAGTCATAACAGTATACCAAAATACCTGGTTACTATAAAGGTGTGAAAACAGAAAATAGTAGGGAACTTAAAAATAAAAATTTTTGATGAGAAAGTTGGAGATTTTGTCCACTTTTTAAGAACAAAAATACCTTACTGTCTTGAATCTCAACAACTTGATTCTGCATAATAGATGGTGTGGCTACTTGTATATTTTGTCCTTGGAGATCTTCAGAAACTTCGACCTCTGATTGTGTTGTTGTTGAAGGGGTGCAGCTTGAAAAATATGTTTCCAGCTTGACACATTTGGATTAAGTTTGTTGGCGATCTGAAATGGCTTTCAATTTCTTCCTCTCCCACTCTGAATGTTAATTCTTTACTAGATCTAGTGTTTACTTTCCATTTAAAATAACCTCTTAACAAATTTTAAGCATCGCTGTTGTCTAGGTCTTGGTGTCTCTCCTCCCCCACCCCTTCCTATGCGACTGCTGGTAATTTACAATAATGCGGAATAATTATTTTCAGAAATTTTTCTCCAATGAGTGAAAACAGTCAGTCATCAACAGATACAGCGCTTTCATCAAATGACGCTACTACCCCAACTCATAACCATGTTGATAAAGGGAAAGGTGAAGGTGAAGACTGTGTTGAAAATGGTAAGATATCAAACACATAATTAAAACAATTGAGCAGGCTTTTGAAATCAATTCTTGAGTTGAATTTTCCAACCAAGTACTATCCTGCATATTTTGGTTACTTTCTAAAATTGTTTATTTTTAATAATTCAAAATTTTCTTTTGACAGGCCCACCGTTATCTGCTGCAACATTAAACAATATTCCTGCATCCCCTGCAGTCAGCCACACTGGTAGTCTTTCAGAAGCTTCCCCAAGAAAGCGTGCTAGGAAACAGTTATTGTATGTGTAATACGTCATACCCCTTGTTGTCAGTAGGAATAAAACAGGGTTGCCACTATCTCGGGTAGTCTCAGAAATCACGGATTAAAAATCAATATTTTTCTCCTAAAACCCAATTAATAAGTGTTAAAAACTATTGTCCACTCCTGTGGTCAGTTGTTAGATATGAACATAACTCGATTGATTGCTACAGTTTATTTCTATTATCTCCCCTTTTAATTTTTTTTTAATATGGTAATCTCTTGAAATTAATGTATAAATACATTTAAATGATGTAATCTTCATTGTCATCAGAGATTAATGTATCTGGTAAGTTGGAATGAAAGTGCTGCATTAGAAGTGGGCTCAATTAAGTTACCACATTGTGCACTACTTAAAGTTCATAAGAAAAATATCCAATACTTTCAAAGACTCACTTTGCACTTGCTGTTTTGGATTGTAAGCATTCTCAACAAAATGTGTACCACTACACATTTGTATCTTAAGTTATAAGGTGTTGTGAATTTTTTTTCTTTATTTCAAATTTGTAAGGAATAACCCACATTGTGCTTACATTTTAGGCATGCTAATGAGGAACTGAAAGACAACATTACTTCATCGGATGATGAAAATGAATCTAATCACCATATTAAAGATGAAATAACTAAAGAACAGAAGGATAGAGATATAAAAGGAGGTATTTGCATGAAGTTTATATGAGCTTTGTTTATTAATCCACTCACACGGTTTTTAAATTGTAAATTGGAATCATTACACAGGGATGTGACTTTTCCGATTTTTAGTGAAAATCCAATTTTTCTGTTTCAGCTGTAATTTCCTTCCTCTGATTTCATTTTCTCCGTATTTCTTCTCCTATTTTCAATTGTTGATTTTTTAGAAAGTTTTAAAAATTCGGTTTAAATGACTTCTATGGAAACAGCATTCCAGATAATCCTATTTAAATTAAATCAAGTATTACAGTACTTTAGTCAAATGGACAATTGAACACACTCTAGGTCTGATGGTGCAAGATTAGATTAAATGTAGGTCAAGATTGAAAATCTCTACGTGTTTCAGTATTTTTTCAGAATGCACATTTTTTAAAGTCCTAATTTCTGAAATTTTCATTTGATTAATATCAAAAACACAAGAAAAAGTTATCTAAAATAATGCCACTCTTGGAATGAAATTTACATATTTTTAGTCTGGTTTCTTTACCGTTAATTTCGCATGCGCTGTACCTTAACTCCCAAATCTACCGTATTTCTCCGCTTCTAATTATCTATCTATATATATAATTCTCTTCTGGGAGACGCTAGAAAAGAAGCTGTAAACGCGCTCCCTACCACCCCTACATGGTCTGGTGAGCTGTGGTTCACTCTAAATGTTTACAAACAGAGCCGGGTTTAGTGACGACTATTAGGGGCAGATAATTTAGTTTGAAACTATTTTAATGGTAGGGGGGGGGGGTTAACTAAGTGGAGTTTACTTTAACGGAGGAGGGGGGGGGGGTTATCGTCCTTAACGAGCTACTTATAGTGTTTTAAAGAAATATTTTTCAGTGTCGAATTCACAAATTATGATTAATAAAGTGAAAAGTAGAAAAAACAACTAAATAGCGGCGTATGATATGCCGCTGGTCGGCTCGTATATATATAATTCTCTTCTTGGAGACGCTAGAAAACAAGCTGTAAGCGCGTTCCCTACCACCCCACCCCTACATGGTCTGGTGAGCTGTGGTTCACGCTAAATGTTTACATTCGTACAGACGGGTTTAGTGACGGCTGTTAGGGGCAGATAATTTAGTTTGAAACGAACTAAGAGGAGGCTGCTTTCGCGGGGGGGGGGGGGGTAGGGGTTGGGGGAAAGGGGGGGGGGGGTAGTATCGTCCTTAACGACCTACTGATAGTGTTTTAAAGCAAATATTTTCAGTGGCAGCATTGGTACTGTCGAATTCACAAATTATGAATTTCTGAAAAGTAGAAAATAAAACAACTAAATAGCGGCGTATGATATGCCGGGGGTCGGCTCGTTTTTTTAATTTCACAATCTCAAATAATATTTGAAATCCTCGACTAATTAGACTAATCCATCCCTCTTTGTTGCAACAATGACCCCAAGTGCGTGTACCAATCTCAAATAGCTATATTTCTACTTTGACACTATAAGCCTATTGATTTAAAACCTACTGTGAACTCAACATGACTCTGACCCAAACAGAGTACGATACGGACTGTTTTAATAAGGGGTTAAAAATGTAATGTTAGAAACTGAACTTCACGTTTTAGTAAACTGTTTTTAATAAGTTGTAATAGAAATTGATTAAAATACCCTTCATCTATCTTTGTTGGTTGACCTCAGTCAATATTCTTTTTAAAAAAATCAATGTTTTAAAAAAATGTAATTTTGAGGGGGGGGGGGGGGTGTTGCTGGCCGAGGTGGACATCATTTTAGGGGGTAGTCTGGCTTTTGTGACGGAGGGGAGGAGGGAGGTAAAAATCATCCAAAAAAAGGTGATGTTATTTATGGATGACACTTAACAATCCACAGCTATTCCAAAAGAATAAATAACGATGTGGCTTGGTTCAAATGTAGTTACAAGTATTAATTCCAAAACACTTTTTAAAATAAAAATCACACCCTTTCTAATTTCTGCTAATCTGGTCGATTTCATTTTCCATCACATGAACTAAAACTTTCAAATTGCAATCAATCTAAATCTAGGCTGTTTATAATTGAAGACTTACATTTTTACCATACCCATCTTTAAAGAATATATATTATAAGGCATTATTTAAAATTGAAAACAACAGTACGCCTAGATCAGAGGTCTCCAAACTACGGCCCGCGGGTTGGATGCGGCATGCAAGGTTCTCTCATCCGGCCCGCTGAGATCTTTTTGTCTTCGGAAAAAAATGTTCATCAAGTACCTCAATCTGCAGTTTCAGTACAGTTTTTCTCACTTGGATTCAAGGGCAGAAGAAGTGAGACTGTTTCAAAACCCATTTGAAGCAAATGTGACCAGTTGCCCAGATGAACTACAGCTGGAGGTCACTGAATTGCAAGCAAAAACAAAATGACCTCCTCAGAGAAAAGTTCAAAGAAGGGCGGGTGGGCTTTTTATTTAAGTTTTTAAAAAAAGGTTTTCCCAAGGAAGACTTTCCTAATATTAAAACTTTTGCATCAAAGTACCTTTCAAATTTTGAAACAACATACTTGTGTGAACAAACATTTACAAGAATGAAATACGTGAAGAACAATTAGAGAACAAACTTTCACCTCGAGTGTTTTGTCGGCAACCAACAGTGTTTCTTTCAGACTTTTTTTTTCCGGGGAGGGGTTGAGGGACACTTGTATATATTTCAATATAGATTATATTTTGTGTTCTGGCCCCTGAACTGATATTTGATAGTTACTGCGGCCCTCGGGCTGGCCTAGATCATTACAATTTAAATTAGCTTAATGTTAAAACTTAATTGCCACCTTTGTTACAATGTAAGATTTCATTTTTAAAAAAAAAGATTTATAAAGTAAACATTAAATTGCAATTAGACAAGACTTTGTGTTATTTTAGAGAACATAAACTTCTTTTATTTAAAATATTAGCTATATCTCTGCCAAATATAATATAAACATGTAACATACACATTTCAACTAAAAATACAAAACAAAACCACCAAACACCAAGCCAAGTTACAAACATAACTGGAATGGAAAGAAAAAGAAAATTAACAAAAATTATACGCATAAATACACATGGTTAAAAGATGCTCAAATTCAATCACTAACTGATACCAAAAGTAACTACCAAATACTAACTTCTAAAAATACTTCTAAAATCTAAAATTAGTTCTTATTACATATCCCATTATTACCAAAAAACTCACATGGTACCAGTGGTGTCGCTAGGTCGGGTGTCACCCAGTGCGGCACCTCATTGTGTCTTCTTCCCCCCCCCCCACCCACCCGGAAATGAAAAAAGGTTAGGCTATATGTATATAGTTGCAATAGGTGTCACACACCTCCTTGTCAGCATCGTCAGTTAGTACTTAAAAGACTTTAAAATCTAATTAATCATAATTGAACTGGCAAAAAGCATTTTTCTTCTATAAATAATGCAATTTTTTGTCTTGGTGTCACCCCTAAATGGTGTCACCCCCGCCTCGCGACACCTCTGCATGGTACCCAACAGGGTTAATTATAGCTACTTGTAATAAGGGGTCATTCATTTATGCCGTCCACAAAAATTTGGAATTTTAGACCCCCCTTCACACGGGTCCACTTTTGATGAACCAATATGAACGTTCAAAAAAATTTAGTTGACCTGTCAAAACATGCTGCAAAATTAATAATAAAATACATTAATATGTAATGTGTACCTTGCTATATTATTAATTGCTAATGTAATATAGGATTTGATATTTTCGGCAACATCGATAACTAGGCCTAAATATTAATATTAAAAGTTGAGCCTAGAAAGTGTTGAAAAATATAAGCTACTTAGTATAAATTAGGCCCCATGTTATAAGCGCTTGCTGTATTTAAATGTTTATGTCAATACTAAACAAAAACTGCAAAACATTAAACATTTGATTTTGTATTTAATTATATTTTTTCTGCCTTATATCATCAACAATATTTTTAAAATGAATAACCCGGGAGTGATCTCCCCTAAATTTTCTCGAATATTCTTATAAAACACTGCGGGGGATAGCAACTCTGGATATAGACATGATTTTTAATGATTTTAAATTACTTAAACTTTTTAAAATAGAATAGAATCTCGTAGAAAAAAGAATTGTGCACCAAGTGAACATCAAACAATCTGTGTATAATAGTGCGGAATATTATTAGAACTTTATAAATTCACATGCGTTTTTTTTTTTGAAATTGGAAGTAGCATAAATTACAACTTATGGTCAATGGAAATTACTCAAAATTTGAAAAAGGCAGAGAATTAGATCTTTTACTTATTTGTGAAACTTTGTTTATCTATCTGAAATAGTAGTTAAGTTATATGCTTTTGTAAAAATCAAAATTTTAGCTAGAAGTTTAAGAAATTTACACCATACAAATACAAAGCATCAGTTTGGCATATTAAAGACTTGTGAACAGAAGAGCAGTGTGACTTTGCGTTTGAGAAGAGAATGTGTTTTGTAAGGGGTTTGAGGTTGCTGTGTACTCACCATGTATTAATCATGTAAAGTACAATCGTTTAATTGTCAGTACTTTTTTGCTTCTAAATAATCATTTAAACAAACTCAGTTTTGTTTATTAGTTTCTAAAATATGTAGAGTGGATTTTATTCATTCCTATGTTCTTCCCAAGATCGTCTTTTAGCAATACAAAGAATTACAATCATTACAAACCTTTACAAAAATTAAGACATTTTCAGTGTGAGAGAATTATTATTATTTTAAGTAATGTTGTATGCATCATATAAAATGTCATTCAAGAAATGTTATACAAATGTGACGGGTGGTGATCTACAGAAATGTTGTATAACACTTAATGGATTTTAAGAATGGGTAAAAATTGTCCAGTTATTGTAGGGCTATTTTTATGTGTAGAATCCCCTATAGATATTTAAAAATTTCTTAATACTTACTAAGTGCAACAAAATTTTATTTTCATACCTATTATCAACATTTACACATAGTGAATTGCCCAAACTTATTGGATTTTTATGATTAAGAGCCAAATAAATGAATGTGGCCAAGATTGACAAGGGTATATCATGCATATAAACAAAAAAATGTAATATTGTATATAAAATTACACACAATTTTTAAAGCTTCTAAAAATTAAACTAGTTTTTTGTTGTTGTTTTTTTTAATTGTCAGAAATATGTTTCACATCATTGTAACCAAGAAGATACACTTAAACTTGAAATAAAATGCTGTCTGCAGAAACACAGAATTTGACTATAATTATTCATATATTTCTCAGAATATACAGATGAAGAAGGTGTAAGATGGATTTTAAACAAACCAAAGCCAACTTTTGTCTTGCTTCAGCCTGAATTTTTCAACAGTAAAACAAGGAACAATCATTTTACTAGATACTCAGATGTTAAGCCCAAAGGTTTGAACATATTTTATTGTTACTTTAATTAATTCTGTCTGTTCAAATTCTCTTATTACTACTTTTGCATTATTTTTCTTAAGATTGAAAACAAAAATGTGTGAGTAGTATAGTTAGTTTTTCAAACAATAACAGAGATGTAACTTTTGCACTTTTTCCCAGAAATCTGCTTTTCAGATTAGAAACAATTATCTGGCAAAAAAAAATTTGAAAATTTTCTGCTGAAAAAAAAAATATTTTTCCTCCAACCGACTTTTTTAAAAATTGGAAATCTTTACAGCCAAACCATTTTCACATTTACTAAGCATAAATTTATTTGAAGACCTTTTTTATAAAACAAAAAAGAGTAGGATTTTTGCTAAGTCTAGAATTAAGAAAGTCAGAGAAAATCACTAGACTTCTAGATCTAGTTTTTAGGGCTAGTAAAAGTAAAGTTTAATTTAAGAAATAAAGCTGTTCCATGATGTCTGTATTTTTATGCTAACCAGGAGTTTAGACCTACATTCCACTTCTCTCCCACATGAACATGATTGCATGGGTCTACACTGCCTTATGTCTATGATGTTTTTTGCTGGTTTGCAGAAGTATCCAGTTTACTCAGTTGCTCCTTCATTCGGGGAATTGTTGTTTAGTCTATGGGGGTAAACTTATGTGAGCGTGTGAATGTGTTATGGCTATTAAAAATTATTTGCTGAAGCATGGTGGCCACACATGGATTCTGTACCTCTTGAAAAAAAATGTTTTTGACACAAATTAACGATGTAGGCATTTAATGATTTGGTTGCACAATCTATAGGGCCTAGAGGTAATTGTTTTAAAAGTTATGTTTCAATTGCTTGGAAGTTGAAAAAAAACCTTGAAATACCGTTGCAGTTTGACAGTTAATTAGTACCCAGATGTATTCTGTCTTGGTGTATTCATCTTCTCATAAGGTTCTCTTAGTTTGCTGCCATAGGGAAACAAAAGCGGCTTGGCATAGTGCTGACCATACTATCTACTTCATCTGTCCTGGGCACAAATGAGAAAAGATGATGATGATGAGTCTGAACTTGCTGTGATTCTGTAACACAGCGTTTAGACTTAGACATTTATGCTATACATGTCCAGAACACAGAGCCTGCCAAAAGTTAATTTTATCTGGAAACATTTTTTTCACAGAACATGTATACTTAAGCATTCACACTTGCAGAACATGTTATAGCATGCTGTCACTGAACAATACTTGTAACTGGAGAGGCATTTTGTTTTCTCATGTACCTTCTTAGAATTCCCAAATTAAAAGATTAGAAAAAAAATGCCATTCACTACCTGGGTGTAGAGAAATGTTTTGATACATTTTGATACAGTGCTTTTTATTTGTTGTTTTTTTGTTTTTTAAAGTCATGGTGGTTTATAACTTATTCCGCTTCTTTGTTTGTCTATATCATTTAGAAACAGCTTGTTCATTTGATTGAACAGGGCCTAATATTTGTCTGTTGATGCGCCAGATTTCTTCAAAAACTTGAATCTGCCAAGTTCATTAAAAATATTAAAATAGAGTTATAACTATACTGTCCATTATTATTAAGAACGAGCCGACCCGCAGTGTAGCATACGCGCTGTTTAGTTGTTTTATTTTCTACTTTTCAGTAATTCATAATTTGTGAATTCAACTGAAAATATTTTGCTTTAAAACACTATCAGTAGCTCGTGAACGACAATTATCCTCACCCACCCCCACCCCTGGATAGCAGCCGTCCATGATGACAGTTTGCAGATGACAATGAAAAAATCAAGCGGAACTTGTTACCTCCCCTTAGTTACAAATAGTTTAAAAACTAAATTATCTGCCCCTAATAGCCGTCACTAATTCGAGCCATCTCTACAATTGTAAACATTCTATGTGAACCACAGTTCACCAGACTTGTTGGGGTGGGGTGATAGCGATATGGTCTGGAGAGCTGATTTAGGTTCATCATTAGTGATCTTCATGTGAATGGTTTAAATATTTGATCCAGACCCCCGATCACTGCCATCTTGAATAAGATCAAGATTGCATTTCTTTACTTTGATTTTAGAGACTTCTTCACAAACAAGAAATTCGTATTATCATGACCAGATGAAATTATTATTATTATTAGTCCTGTTGTTAGTAGATTTGTCCAGTATTCCAAAAAATGAAAATGAAAATAGTTTAAGTTTAATAATTAATATGATAATCATCTGATCACCATAAAACTTTGGAAGTTGTTGAGAATACTCCTGATACTCCTGGAAAGGTTTCTGTGCAAAAAGAAACATTTTTTTAGGGGCTGCCAGTAGGATGCCCAGCGTTCCCCGGTGGCTTATCTTAGTTGCTGGAATCTGTTGATTAGGCTTCCTGCACAGTGGGTCATGGGCACTACTGAATTCAACAGTCAAACTGCACAAAGTGTATCTGCTGGCACCCAGGCAGTCGTTTGCTCCGCTGTGCCCCTGGCTCCCTGCATGAGCACTGAGGCAACTACATTTGTTTTAAAAAGCTCTCTTCACTATATAACATTTTATAAAAAATAGAAATTAAAGATTGTTTGAAAAATGTACACTTTTACATGTCAAAATTACATTAACTAAAGTACTCAATACAATTGATTGTGCTAATTTAGCATTACTGTGAATTCCCCACTCCTCCAACACTACAACTATATCAGCTGATGATAATAACAATGATCACAATTTAGGTGACAAGAATCAATCAGGGGTTTTTGACAACAAATGGAAATAATGCCCCGATAGTACTCCTCTCCTGAAAATCTTTTACTTTACTAATTTTTACGAGACTTTCTAAGAAGATTGTTGAGAAGGCTCATCAAAGTAAACTTTTTAAAAATTTGTGTAGCATTTGTTAACTTTTATCAAAAGAAGGTGCTGCCTCTGTCACCAAAATAAATCACTGAAATGCTCAAGGTACCTAACTAATGATCCTCAAGACAAATCTTTACAGTTACTTTGCAATATTATAAAAAAAAATTTTTTTAAAAATAAGTTTATTTACATCACACTTTAGATGTATAGTAACAGTATTTTGGTTCAGGTGGGTCACAATTTTAGTTATTTTCAAGTGTAATTTACTTTAATGGATACAACATCCAACTGTTTTAACAGACTTTACGCTATTTCAGACCAGGGTGTGGCTAACCCTTTGAACATAATAGGTGTGTTGAGCTTTGATAAACAATGCAATTATCGGTCTAACAATACAAGCTCATTATACAATATACTGCTTCAATTTCAGGTGATTGG